CTTGAGGTTGCACAGAAAGGGAACTGCAAAGGCACAACAGACGCAGGGTGCCACTACATATCAGGGCGCGCCAAAGGATCGTGGGTCAGTGTAGGACAGACCCGTTCCCCAGCTAATGCTACAGGGCCCCACTCGGGTAGGCTGTTGCAAATGGCGGCAAGCCCCCTCAAATTTCATTGGCCGCCACCCTCATGCCACAATGTTTGCCTCCTCCGTCCTCTCATTATGTTTAAAAGGTGAGGTGGGTATAGGTCATCATCGTGATCATGCGGCCAGACCAGATGGCCTTTGTAAAGCCGTCCTAAGTGCATGTCTAGGTCCAATCCTGAGCCGTACCTGCCAAGTTCTCCCGACGACGCTAATCGTTGCGCCTGAGCGCTGCTGTTGGCAGCGACCTTGTCCGCAAGCCTTTGGACTTGCCCGCTCAAGCTGCGGTGGTCGTCCGTCAGGCGCTTGACGGATTCCTGCAATCCCTCATATGAGAAGACAGTGAAAGGCGGGCGTTCATAAATCGTTAAAACTTAAGCATGGCCGTCCTGTCCAGTGAAAGCACCACTGCGGCATGTTATCCAAACCTATTGACTTCGGAACGGCTCTGCGGCTCTACCTCATATCCTGCCACTGACCTGCCGGTCCCGTTCGCCCTCCTCAAGCCGCTCAAGCCGGACCCGCGCATCGCGTCCTCGCTCCTCCTGGAAGGCTATGCGCGTCTCCAAGTCTGAGATTGCTCGTCCATGATTCCCGCATGTCTCAAGAACCCTCTCGACCTGGCCCGCGCATTCTAGCTGCGCTGCTGTGCAAGTGTCCAGTGCGCCCAAACGCTCCTGTGTGCAGAGAGCAGATGGCGGAAATGCTTATGGCGGGCGTCTCCTCCGTAGAAACAGAGAATCTTCGGCACCAGGAGGGCGCACCGACAGCCCGAGACATGTTGCACTGGCCGTTGGAGTTTGCACGTCCTTCAAACCAGCCTTTCAGTCTCCTTATGTATCGGTTGGATTGGACAGAATTGCTAAAAAGGCCGAGGTTAGCACGTCACAGACCCGGAATCTTACCGTCGCGGCTCGTAGACCATCCTTCAGGGACTGAATAGCCGTGTCGTATTTTTGCTGCTGCAGCTGGATAACAGTAGCTGAAACATTGGCCGCGGCGGTACTAACGCCCCCCCCGCTGACGGCTGGGCTCGGGACATTGCGTGGCAAGCGGCTTGTAAGGCTACCGGACGGGTTGCTAGCTGGAGGTGGTGTGCGGCCCCCTGCGGACAGCCCTGATGTCCCGGCGACCACGGTTTGCGGTGCGCGCGCGACGGTTTGCGGCGCAGTGCCTCCTAAGCGCGGCGTGGATGGTGTGCCAGTCGCTGCACCACCATCGCTGCCAGCTACCGACGATGCCGAAGCAATCGAAATCCGGCTGCTATTAGGCGCAAGTGGAGCGGCCGCCCCACCAGCTGACGTTCCACGTGGTTGACCTGCCGCTCCGTCAGTTCCTCGAGCGGTGAATCCGCCTCGCTGGCTTATGCTAGCTTCAGTGCCACTTGCCCTGCCACCAGTTAGAATTTGCCTCATCTCCTCGCCTTCAGCCAATGACAGCGGCGTGTTGCCCGCCTGCGCAACGATATGTCGGTTGGCAAGTAAAATCCCTGCGCCAGTGCACGAGCCCATAATGTACACTACCATAAAAGCTGATACACTGGCGGGATTTGGACCGCGCCAAGGGCTCTGGTTGCCAATCGTGCATGGCGAGGTAGTGCAAGCACGTGACCTGCAAAACGTTGGGGTTCCGAGGGTAAACTAGACCCTATTAACAATACTGTATTGTCCAATATTGTAAATAGGGCCTAGTTTACCCCCAAGCGCACACATACCTTGTCCTTAACGTCCGTTCGATTGTTTGCCTCGAGCAGTCTCAGCACAACTGCCTTGTGGCCTCCAGCCACCGCCAAATGCAGGGGGGTTTGCCCTTCCTGAATGAATGAAGGAAACGTGGAGTGAGATTTCCACATGTATCTTCCATGCGGTGTGCCCACAGAAACCCTTGACAGCGCACCTTATTCTTTGCTTTTGCTGTCGTCTTTCGACCTGCTAGCAACTCGCCAACAGTTTCCTCGTAGCCCTACAAGTAGCCCGGACAAGGGAGGGCTGGCAGTTTAATGCGGTGGCCCGCCTACCCCACCTGTTTAGGAGCATGGCCGGTCATTGGGAACCCTCACAACCGACCTGTTCGGCAGCCACGTGGAGGGGGATATTCCCCTGGTTGTCGGCGGTGTCATACTGTGCGCCGTGCACTAAGAGCTCCTTCACGAATGCTACTTGTCCGTGCCCAGCAGCAATGTGCAATGGTGTAGCACCCGCCTAGAACACCGTGAAATAGTGTGACATATGTTAGGCACGTGCGCTCAGCATACGGCATAGGGCTGCCGCAGGCTTGCAGGCCTTGGTCAACAGGACAGTCCGAAAGCGTCCGCCGCGAAATGACGGCGTCCATGTCGATACGGAATAAGCTTTTGCGTAAACGAAGTCCGTATGGTACACCTCCAGCTACGTACCGGGTTCTTGGCGTTCACTGAGTTTGGATACAGCGAAATGGCACGCTTTAGGCTAGGTAAACTCCCTTTTTCAAGCTCCTTAAATATGTTCATCGCTATATCTATGAACCATTCGGCCCTTTAGCCTGATGTGACAAGTAGGAATTGATTTTGTGACCCAGACTATACTCTATTTCGCACGCTCCACGTCTTTGCATGCTCATAGAGGCAAAACATTAGCTACAATGAGAGTTATCTTTCCAACTGGTCAAGATGGGGAAACGGCTGCATCGGACATTCAAAATGTAATTCTACGGCAGTCATGAACTCACCGGTCACCCACTCACCGCCCTATAAAAAGCACGTTTCGTTTGTGCTTGTAGACACAGTTATATTTGTATAATTGTTCCAGGTAACAATCTTTAGCCTATGTTTGAAATCTCACCGTTCTGTGTGCGAGCCAATACCGGAGTTTGCCTGCAACTCATTTTTCCCTCTCAAGATGTGGAACGCTAAAACTTGGCTGTGCATTGCTCCAGATCCCGTCCTGTTAGCGCTGAAGCAGCCCTAATGAGTTTCGTTTGACCGTGATATCGCACTGCACATAATGCAAGGAAAATAACGCAGGCTTCAACCTTACCGTTGTTTTAAACTCAGCCATGGAATGACAAACCGGCCAGGAGATGCGTGTAAAAGTATCTGCCTTTCCAAAAGGCAGCTGTAACATCCCACGACCCCAGCCTTGTACTTTTCGACTCCTGAAGTGTTGGGATGCAGATAAAGGTGAGATTAAGATTGTATGCGGTCTACTCATTGTCCGACTGTTCAGTTGCTCAACACGCATGTTAAGAGTGTAGACGACCCGGCCTGCGTTGGGTTTGATGCCTATGAAATCCCCGGTGGGTGCGAAGAGCGGTGCACATGGTAGTTCACATGTCGCCGGTATAAGGCCCACCAACAATGAAACGGCTTTCCATGACCGCCGGGCGCCGAGAACCACCCCTGGCGGACAGATACGGGCTGGATAGTAGCAAACCCTGCTCACTCGTTTGTCGTCCTAAGCCTGATTTTCAGGCCCCTATTTCTCCCCCTCAGTGCACAATAATCCCCGAGAACACTAAGGGCTTCGTTTTCTAAACACACGACATGATCTTCCTCCCTGTTCCCTGCTGTTTGTGCTCACTGAGCACACGTTCGATCGGGGATCTCCGTCTTGACTGAACTTAAATGCAATGAATGCAAACATTCTACCTCCTGAACCTGGAAGTTTCATCATGAATTGAACGAACACTTTCGGGGCCAGACCATCCCCACGTGATGACCTGTTTGCACGGCCATCCAAAATACAATCCACACAGGTCTCCACCATTGCATACCCGCATGCGCACCACCGCAATCCAAGGTCTGTGAACGGAGCACAGCGCCCAACGGAACGTGACATGTTTCTCACACAACAGCAACTGCGAATGTGCAGGAAACGGAAAATGATACAGTATTTGTAAGGCAGAACTAAGAATCGTTATCCGTGTGCGCTTAGCTATGTTAATACGCAACCTGCAGAATGCACCCAGTTTCCGTTCCACTCTATCGGACCAGCGCATGCCCGGTTCCGTCCGATGTCAGGGAATAGCACGTGCTCTGTTCCGTCCGGTGTCAGCCAAGCACGGAATGAGGCACTCATCCGCGCGTAGTCACAGCGCACAGATGGCCAGAGACCGTCCTAGGCGAGCTGTCCTCGATGCAGCACAATGGAGGACGCATGTGGCGAGCCAACCAAGCAGGGCTAGCGACGGGAGTTCCCTGCCAGCAATCCGCCTGGCCCAGGCCGCGGCGCCCCGCACGTAGCGCAAATCTTGGCAGTCACGTCGTCGTTGTTCACAGTGCACTTGGTGCACGTCCAGAAGCCCTGCTCCTGAAGCAACTGCAGCAAAGGCAATGAACAGGGAGGGGTTGCATTCTCAGTTGCAGCTGAAAACGTGCGTTCAGGCGAAGCGGGCTCACGATCCAATACTCGGGATCACATACCTGCAATTCAGAAGTCTCACTGCTTGGGAAGGGGTGTTACAGTTACCGAGAAGCGGAATTATTAGCGAATACGGTGCAGCATTAACCCAATCGGCTTGTCATAAAACACCATCGATTCAGCCCCAGCGGAGGCGTCGCCGGACTTACCGCCTCCCATTCGTCCTCCGCGCGTGCCTTCTTCGCGCGGCGACCCTTGCCCGCGGCCGACGATGTCCCCGCTTTCCCGTTGTCGCCCAGGTCGCCCGATGTGCTTGGACCCCCGTAATCGTCCATCTGGACAAAGATATGATGACGAAAGGAAGTATGAAATGGGCACAAAGCAGTACCATCGCCATTCATTCTTCTGAAGAACGCAACATCTAAAATTGGCATAGCACGGTACAGGCGGTTTTGCGAACGTCCATGCGCGTTCGAACATAGACCGATCCTTAAGCATTGTCAGCTACATGCCGCATCAACAAAATAACATCCCCAGTCCCACCTGCCCCGCATAGTCGGCTTCCATGCTGCCAAAGCCTTTCTCGAGCTGTTTCACTAGCTTATCGAAGAAGCCCGCGGTTACATCCGTAAGCCCTGCAACACATGCCGCAAATTGCACACCGTGTGGTGGTAGCTTAGGTCACGCGTAAACATCTGCAGTTAAAGAGAGTAACGACGGCAGCGCGATGCATGGTGCGCAGTAATCATCCAGAAGCCACCGGGCGTCGACGCAATTTGTTCATCCGTAATCCGCAACGCGCAAAGCCATCACCATGCACGGCCACTGGGCGCCCACAAGCCACAGGGCGTCGAAGCACCCCAAATGTCAAGTTTTTCAAACGTGGCTTTGAAACACCTAGAATACCAACAGGTTTCCCCAATGGCGCCGTACACGTAGCCATGTTGTATGCCTAACCTCAAGACTCACCGATTAGGTTTTTGCGAAAATTCTGGAACAACTCGACGTCGAAGCCACCGTCCAGCTGGTTGCGTGCCTTCTGCACATGCGTGCCCAGGTCCTTTTCCGCCGCCTCGTGCAGCCGCTCCAGCGAGCGCTCGGCGTCACCCTGCACAACGCGGACAGTAAGTCACAATCCTTACCCATGATGGGACCTCACCGGGCTGATACGTTATAACACCTAACCCGACCACTCTGTTACTGAGTGGCGTGAGCGCGAGTGTACTGAGGGTAAAAGGTGCCTACTGTCGGAGCTCCGACAGCCGCTTTCAAAGCCCAAGTTGACATACAGGGCTGAGGAGCTGCTCGGATCTCAGCCATACATCTTCCCATATACACGCCGTATGGCATCTTGGTTTGTAGTAGCACATCCCGTGAAATGTTCATTCCCTCATTACCCCACACCTGCAGGAATTCGAAGAACGTTTTATGGCGCGCGTTCTCGGCGTCCTTGTCCGCGTTTTCAAATGCATAGTACCCGTAGGCATACGTCCACTTCAATTGCCGGCGGCACTCCACAATCTGCGGTCAAAAGGAAGGAGTACAGGCTAAAACCGCTGCAAGCGAGGCTTCACAAGAACAGGACGCACCACGGCCTCATGATTATTCACAGGATGCAGGCTAGGCAGGGTGCCCAAGGTACGGTACCCATAAGTATTCGCCGTTTCACCTGGTTCCAGGCCTCGTTGATGAACTTCAGCTGCGAGGTAGGCGTCTTGGTGATATCCGCCAAATGATCAAGCCACTCCTTCGAGACCTTGCTGGCGTCGGTGCGCGCCTGGAATCAAGGTGAAGATTTTCAGCCAAGTCAGGCATCAGCTAACCCCCAGGAGCCCACATGCCATTTAGAGGCAGTTCCCAGCCGTCACACTGTACTTGCTCTGTGCCTAGGCTCTTAGCCACACAGCTGGTATTTGGCTGCCTGAAACCATGCAGCCTTTCGCCATGGTAAGTCATTTCGCACCTTCTCCCGCGCTTTGGAGTGCGCGTCAAACCGCTCAAAGTAGTGCATGTACCGCTCAAGGGACGCCTTCGCGTTCTCACGGCGTCTAGATTCATCGTCATAGTCGCCTCGTTTCTTGGCAGTCTCGAACCTGGTACGAGGGAAGAAGCAGAAAACCGGGATCGAGCAGCCACACCATAGCCTATTTATCCAGTCCTATAATGCCACGGACAGAGCCGCAATCCTGGCATCTGACAGCGTTTGATACTGTTTGTTTTCCTAGATCCAAGAGGACCCCCACAGCTTTGTGCGCGGCCCTAAAGCTACATGGATTTGCAAATCCACGATTCCTGCTCGAGCTATTCATATCCCAAGTCTACCTTGTTTCCGGCTGCTTGCATAGGACACTATGAACATAAGTGTCATAAAGCGATGTAAGACATTGCCACGCTGCTTTGCACGGCGCTCAGGAAAAGAGGTACTTGTGCACACGTATTTGGGCCTAGGCAACCAGCTTTTCCGCACTGCATTTCCATGAAGGATGGCTACTCAGCAAAAAACTGTGCAAGCGCCTCCTGAAGCGGCCTCCTGGCACCGCGACAGCATACTAAGGGTTCTCGGACAATACGGCTTGTTTGTTGTGTTTGTGGAGCTACGCAGGCCCCTCCTTGCTAGCTGGACTTACCGGTTGCACGCGTAGAAGCCTCCCGTCCGCTCGCCGTGCTCCTTCCAGTCGCCTTGGCACAGCCAGCAGAACTCGAACCGGCACTGGCTGCACGTCATATGCATGCAGCCCTATCAGGCAACAGCATTCCAATGAACAAGGTGAGAGACCAATGAGGGCACGCGAGGAGGGGCAACAGTAGCGTCATCCAAGGCACAATGCGAGAGCTGTATGATGCGGGGAAAATACACGGCATTCCACACGCACATAACGAGAAAAGTGATCTGCACAAGCCACGATTCATGCTCCACGTGAATATGTCACAGAAAGCCCTGTTATCTAATGCGTTCCCTTCCCCCCCCCCCGACGCACCCTGTATCCTCATACCTGGTTCTTTTCTATGGGCCGGCTGCATTTGGGGCACGGCTTGGTGTTTGCGAGGATCCAATTCATGTTTTCGCTTTCTGCACTGTTCTTGGTCAGCCACTTGGTCACGGTCTCGCATGACACCTTGGATTGGTTAAGACCAGGGAGCAACGGTTTAGGGCATGGGTATGGACAACACCTATCATGGGGTCTACCATCACACTAGACCAGGACATTTACAAAAATTTGGTAATGCTAGGGTTATAAGAAGGGATCCTAAGAAAGCAGCTAAGGCACAACCCAGCTGCCCTGCGCAGGTAATACACTCACCGGCCGGTGCGCTTCCTCCTTGCAGTTAAAGCAAAAGGTTGCTGAGCAGGTACACAGGACATCCAGTGGCTCGCCGGGAGCTCGGTCGACAAGGCACTCGATAGCGTTCTCGCAGTTCTACAGGCAACGCCAACAGGCAACCTCTGATCGACAACACACACATGTGCACGGCAAACGCATACAAGGCAGTTCAATAAATCAAGGGAGCAAAAGCCTCTTTTGCTCCGAATAAACACGACCTCCAGTTCCAGGATAAGGAGCCATACAGTAAATATGACGTGCGCGTAGCGCGAAGGGCACAGTATTGGCACCCAACTGCAGTAGCAGCGCCCTGTGGCCTATCCTACCTTGCCTGTGCACCAAGACATCGCGTTGTTATCCTCCACATACGACCTGATCATGTAAGAGGCGTATTTGGCTTTATCGTCCGGGCTCGCCAGCTCCATTATCAGGCATGAAGGCACCTGACAGACCGCGTTTCGGCGTATACGTGTAAGGATATGATGTGGCGTTATTGCGTGAGTGATAGATGTCGTCCACACGCCACGCTAAGCCAGTGAACCATGGAACCGTAAGGCTGTGGGTACGTTATCTGCAAGACCAGTATCAGCCCCGGATCTACCAAGGGACTCCACATTGGAGACCCAACCGGCATACACATGGTACACGCGGTGCCGCGCGCCTGAGTGATGCATACGGCGCAGGTAGCAGACAGCAGGTAGCCACGGAAGCGCCAAAAATCGGACCAGACCAGTGCAAGCTGCCCTTGCATGGGAGGCTCTTCACAGCCATATGCAAGTAGGGAACATGTACTTCCTCCACCTAAACATGACTTGTAACACCAGTGGTGAAGCAGCCCTGCAGCAACTGCCTCTTAACGGAAGATTCAGGTCCATCTCTCAGCCCCGCCCCGCCTACTTACGCAAGCTTTCCCCTTGCACTCCGTGGACGGGCAGCGTAGGTCCAGGCAGGCCGGTCCCGAGGAAAGCGCGTTCGAAATGTAGCCCCGCCAGCACTCCTTGCAAAAATAGTGCTTGCATGCAGCTGACCGCATTTCATGCAAGGGATAGCTATCAAAGCAAATTAGGCAACGCTCCTGCGAGGGTTACACCGTGCCATGAAGATATGCAAGAGAAATCAGTGGAGTGCCATGAAGATATGCAAGAGAAATCAGTGGGTACTGATGTCCTCCGTATGCATTGCCGACGGTACCAAACTGTGGGCGTTGCTCGCCTCGTGGCTCACGCCAGTGCATGTGGCCCAGAAACACCAAGAACACGCGCGCATGCCCGTGCCTGACGGACGATGCATACCATTGGTGTATGTCATCACGTTTGTGTTCGTCTGCGAAAATCCGCCATGGCTCATACACATTGATGCTTTTCTCGACTTGTAATGATAATCGTAAGCTCCAGGTGAAGTTCTCCTGGTACATCTACCCCAGGCACCAACACCAAGGACCACGAAGGCACCAAACTCAAGCTGCCATGCTGCAATACTGCATTCCCGGGGCTCCCCGACGCGTCTTCCCCAATCCGGAGCTTCCGCACGTCCTTAAAGTCAAGTCTGGGGTGATTACGTACAGACGCGACCGCACCTCTTCGCGCCCCGACGGCGTCGGCTCCTCATCGACCAGCCCCAGCGATTGCCGAACCTGCTCATACTTTGAAAACCATTCTTCCTGTACGCGGCTGACGTCCCTGTTCGCGTACCAGCGCGGAAGAAGGTAAGAGGGTTTCGCCATGCTGCACACAGACACGAAGCAAACCAATCTCACCACTTATATTTTCGTAAAACACGCATAGCTACATCTTCGGGAACTTCCAGCACGCTCATCACTTCGTGCAGGGCCCTCTTTCGCTGCTTTTGAAGCTCCTCTTTCGGCAGAACTTTGTAAGGCACCTGCCATGCACAAGTGCTTTGTAAAATGATAAAACGCATGCGAGATGTCAGGGCATTGGTGTCAAAGTGAACACCTAGATCCTTACCACGACCCAAACGCTAACGTTCTTATGCTTTACCTTGGGCACAGATGCAACCTCCTCAGCACCAGCAAAGCCATAATCTTCATCGTCATCCTCCTCCATGTACTCTGCTTCGCTATCCTCGTCCATCTCGCTTCCTGACTGGAACTCCTCGCTGTCGTCACTCATCGTTGGGGGTCCCTAGCTTTACAGGTGAATAATAAATTGTCGTTCGTTGCTTACAACAATCCAAACTTCGCGTAAAGGTGCAAAGTGCAGCGTTTTGACGAATTGCAAATGAAAGACTTAAAACGGAGAACTCTTAGCAGTAATCAGGATTTCAACATTAGCGAGCAAGAAAGTAATGATGAAAGTATATGCTTTCTTAAGGGTCTATTTCGCTCTGTGTCATGTCTTGGTACGGGTGCATGCAAAGCACGGTCGTACACAGCGTATTAAAGCGGACCTGGCACAGATAAAGCCCCATTGCAGCACCTAACAACCGCGTATCGCACCTTTCTGGCTTGTTGTTCTGCTCATTACAACTACGATTAGCACCGAGGACGTGTCCCGACATCAAACGCACTTCAAGTTCACGTTTGTCAAGCAGTCCCCAACTGTGGGTGGGGCATCTGATAACGGTCAACCCAGAACGCGGCTGGAAACTGGTTCGCTTATTTAGTTAGCCTGTTCGCACGTGGTTTACAGGCTTGGCGGAAACCAGGAGGGTTATATACATTGGCGGCACGAACTCCCGCCTACATAGGAAACCTCAGGAGCATACACCTGTTGGTCCAGTCGGCCAACGCTAGGGGAAACGCTAGGGGCTTTCCAATTCTCCTATGACGTACATCCTCAACCACACATTCGGTACTGCGAGTTTGGTCACAAGTTTTGTGGCATCTCTGCGACAGCCCTTACCTTGACTTGCATTGTTTCTGGTCCTAAATGGTAGACTACGTTTTTTAGTTGCCTTCGTGATCCCCCCAGATCTCTTGTTGATTTGGAAGTCCCATTGAACCTAAAAATGTGGTGACCCCTGATGTGATACACCTCTATGCCCAGCGTAAATGCATCCCTCAAGAACTCCGTGGAAAAGATTTCCCTTAGCATTTTCTAACCTTTCCAAGCCGATGCCTCTTGAACCTTGCCTAACCAAGCAATTAAAAACACCCACAAGACGCATCCGCTGGTGCAATCTCGGAGCTGCGTGCTGCTTGGTATTGGTGTCTTGTGTATGCCGGATGGGAGATACTGAGAGCACAAAGATTGAAGCGTGAGACTTACACAGCCCAGACAGCTGCTACGAGCAGCAGGAGCTCAAGCGCATCCGTTCGGGGCCGCAAAAATGGCCGCGACCACGTTAAGACGCTGGCACAGGGAGCCGACCAGCAGCACTCCGGCAGGTCCTCTTCGATGCTGCTGCTTCCTGCTCTGCTGATGCTCCAGCAATTGTTCCAAGCCGCTTAATCCTTCTTCTGCTCCCTGTTGGGGAACCGGCGAGGCGGCTCGCGGTTCCGGCGGTCCTTGGCACTACGTACGCGCACTACGCGGCTGTGAATAGCCGCACTAATGCTGTAATAGACCTTGCGGTAAATCTTTGGCAGAGCGTAGTCTGCGTCGGGAAGGATTTGCATAGGGAAAAGAGAAATGACGGCGCCCACTCAGTAACAACTGGCATTGCCTTTACTTGATGAGTTGCTAGATTTTGCAATATATGTGAAAGGATAATCCTAGCAGCTTTGGGAGCAACGAACCTCTACAGTGCATATGAACGACGATCCTCCTGGTGATATGAAAGTCTGAGCTCTTCACTCACTGTCGATAACGCAAGCCTCCTGCATATCACGGAGGGCTGACGCATCCACAATGTTGCGCACAATGTAGCGCTTGATGGCCTTGTCCTTTGGCACCATTGCGCCGCTAGACTCGCAGCGCACACGGTTCACATGGCCACGGCCGTGCTTGGCGCGACCCCGATTTCGCCGCTTCTTCGTCATTTTTCGAGGTTCCAAAGGGAGAGAGGACCACGTCTTTCTTCTGCGGCTCTTTTGCCACTTCCATTGCTCCAGGGTGCCGTACCAAAATGCCTTCATGCCTCTGAACGAAACTTTTGGAGGCTTCCAAATTTCTTTTTGAGCTTTGCCTTGTGCTTTTAACTATCTTCGATGATGAGATAAGTGATGTATGTGTAGCTGGAAACAGTCATGCCAAGGATACGTTTGACACTGGCGAACGACTCCATGCCTGATGATTTACGCAGCAAATTAAATATGTACAAGCAACTTTATGTACATTGGAATTTAGGTGCCTGAATGGATGGGAAGCTTGTCATGACCCGCTGGGACGCACTCCCTTCGTCAAGGCTGGTGTTAGCCGTAGAAGGCTGTAAGCCATGTGAGGAAGTCATGGAAATGTAAGGGAAGACCAACAGGTTCACTGCCGCTGGGACGGGCCTTGACCATGCCCCAGTGAACGGCGTTCGAGGAGGCACGGGTTTCACCGGTCCCAACAATCCCACGCTTCGGTATGCCCTCCCAGTGGTTGAGTGCCTAGCCTTATTAAAGGTCTGACGTTCAAGCGGCATCCTGCAAAAAAAATGGGCGATGCAGTCGCTTGAAAGCATGGTTTCTCTGACTACTGCAATGTCCTGCAATTGGCTACGCGCTGCCAGCTTGCCACTCTGCAACCCTGGCTGTCAGTCCCCTTACTATGAATGCATGAATTTTTGATATATGGACCAACATAAGGGACCTGTGCTTTCAAGGGTTCAGTTTGACTTATTTCACCACCTACATTACCTACATCGACTGCAAGGAAAGCCCGCACAGGTTACCCTTATCTCGTCCCAACGGCATGGGCGCGCCACACTTGTGGGGTAACTGGCCGACATCTTACTTTTTGTGCGAAGTCCATGCAAACTGAGGCTATGATTAGATGGTAGCGGTAGCCTTACTGAGCGCGGAGTTACGCCAGCTGAAGTTTGCAAAGATACGTCATCGCAGCTGGGAATTGGAAAGTTGGCTGAAATGCACTCGCATTGCGCTTCCCGTTGACTTTCCACTGCCAAAAATGGCGGTGGCCACGATGGGTATTGTCAGGTGCCATGAGAGCCGTAAGCAATCAGCACACGTAAGGACGACTTTCGTGTTATGTCCCTCAGCAGAGCATCAAAGGTTGCCGTGACTACGTGAAACCTGAGGAAATCCTCCCTGAGCATGCCTACCCTCTCTACGCGCTTGAATCCCTTTCAATGCCGGCCTGTGGCAATGTATCATTCTCCACTCTGCTCCACTTCATTGTTAATTTCTGGGCTGGGCGTTTGAATCAAAGGTCATTCATGACGGTTACATGTCTGTTGAATGAAAATAGATAACCATAAGCGACCCATACGTACATGGGTACATCAGGCAAGAATTTCAGATGCGTCTATCTCAAAAGGGTTGCGAGCTCACGGGCCATTTGCTAAGCCTCGTGTGCGTTCATGTGCAATTTCTAGTGCGCAATATCAATATGTATTGTGAAATTCAGAATACCCAATTTCGTCATGTTTATTGAAATTTTACAGCATTTTGACATGCTGGGTAATGCGCCTGTATTCTGCAATCGCTAACTTGGATCCTCGTGCAACCACCAGCTAACTATCCGTATTGAGTACAGCGTTATAGCCATAAATGGGATGGCTCATGTATAACCGTTGCGAGAAAGCCGAGAAAACTACTACGATTACATTAAATAAAAGGATTTGTGAGCGACAAACAACCGGTTGCACAGGATGGATACCTCGCACGTCCTAGCGTTCCTCGGTGCACTGCAAGATGTTCGTGAGCTTCTCTCAGGACTAGCTCGATACTGCAATCATGATGGACTCATGGCCATAGAGTCCGTGACAGGTAGGTGATACAGCATTGTTAACGCTCCATTGTTAACATCGGCATTGCTAATAGCATCCAACACAGCAATGAGCGCAAAGGTTTTCTATGCATGTCTATTATTCGCCTCTTGCTGTATGAAATGCATTGCGCCCTTGGCAAACCATATCCACCTCAGGCTACCTCAACCAACCCAGCGCGACACAGACGCATGAAGTTACAAGCGACATGCTATTGCTAGCCACTCTATGCTGTCCTAAGGTGAGGAATCCCGATTGCAGATTAGCTTCTGCACTAGGGCGACCCTATGTCAACCGTCACTTGCTATTTTCGGTTCTATTAACTGTAATAATCACACTACTGCGAATGTCCCATCCACGCAGGATGTTGGCAACGCAACATTCCATCATCTTGATCCCGTGACGGATATTGGTCGCCTCGCACTCCAGCGCATCGGAGCCGCACTACTGCGCAGCGCTGGCACATCCGACCTCGACGAGCGACAGCTCACTCTCTCCCTGGCCGCCTCCACAGTCCAAAATGTGCTGGCCGCGCGGCACCTCTGCCTGGGCGCCCTGCAAGCGTCGCTCTCCGTCTACAACTGCTTCCGCCTCTTCCGCTTTGCGCACGAGTGCGGCATCTCGCCGCTGCGACAAGCCGCGGAGCAAATTTGCCTGGCCAACCTACCTTGCGGCAGCGCCCCGACCTATGATGACGCGGGCTTTGTGCTCCTGCAGCATGACCAGCTGCAAAACCTTCTCCAGTCCGACGCGCTACAGGTATATGTGCACTTAGCGTGGTGGTTGTGCCTGGGGGCCCTATAACCCCCCCACGTGCGATGAGCACTTGTGTCACACACAACTGAGCGTGTAAGTGGCTGGCAGCTGGTTCGGCCATGTTGATCAGGATAGTTGACGCCATGTGGAGAATTTAGGCAGCATTGGGCCACACTCAACGACGCTGACCAGCAAGAGAACAGGGGGGGCCCCCTCCACCCTCCTCTGCCCTGATACCTTTCCCTTACAGGCATATCTTCCCCTGAATCTGTTATTGCCCACGAATTCCGCATCCATTGTACTCATCTCCCACATCTGCCCACCGCGCCCCTGGCGGAATTCATCCCTGCCAGGTTTCCAGCGAGCTGGATGTATTCCGAGCCATCATGGCCTGGGCGGATGCAGCACCGAAGATTCGGACGCCGCTAGTGGCACCGCTGGTTCAGCGCTGCGTCCGATTAGGCACCATGGACTTGGGGCAGCTGGAGTTGCTTGATCAGGAGCCGGGAGTTGTGGCCAGCCAGGACATCACTCGTATCGTGGCGAGGGCCTACGTGATGCGGCTGGTGGGCATGCCGGCGGCGGCGGGGCCCGCTGCGTCGAGGCCGCGCGACAGCGTCGCAATGGCATCGCATTCGAAGGCGGCTGCAGCTTCGCCTGTGGAGATGGGGGAGGAGGAGGAGGAGGAGGGGGAGGCCTGGTCACCGGTTGCGTTTCTTCCACCGCTGACGGACGGTGTGGTCTAGGTGCGTGCCTAATTGTTCTGCAGCCGCCGCACATCAACCATCGGACGATACATACAATGACAAAGTCATGTAGGCGATACGGGGACATGGCGTGGTCCGTGACTCTGCCGTACAGCATACTGCTGGACGTGCACGAACGAAGTAGCTGTGTCCCATGTACAGTACAGATGGCGGCGGAGGGTGACTGCGAGTGAGTGGCGAGTGTGTGCGAGTGCAAGTTTTTGCCTGTCTGCACTGCACGGGTGGGCTGAGCAACTGATGAGCTTAGGTGGTTGGCGGGTGAGGTGCCAACCAGGTAGGTAGGTCCTGGTGGTGTGAGCCATTCGGGTGCGGTGGGAGTGCAAGGCAGTTCAGATAGGCAAAAAGAGGCGGCTGTGCTGCTTCGAAAAAGTGAGTGTGGGGAGGGTGGGCACTGGGACGGTGCCCAGGGTTGTAGTTGACATGTTGATGACTACTGGCTGGATACCTGATGCTGGTTGGATCCCTGGACGACCTCAGCGCTGCCAACATGCAGCTAATACAGTGGGGGTTCGGTCCCTGGGGGCAGCGTCTGTGTATGGCATGTATGTGAAGCGCATGTTATGTTGCCCCAGCACCCGGGCAGACCAATTCCTAAGCCGTCCGCCGAACCAAGGTGAAGCACACGGCGTGCATTAAACTACTTCTGTGTGGAATAAGAGGCCGTTACATTGTGGAGAAGGTTCATTTCTTAGGCTGTACGAATCGCGCTGTTGAGTTTGGCAGCGAGCGCTGAAAAATGCGCTGCGCGTGCTTGTGTTAGGTGTGCTGTTCATGCTAGGGTGAAGGAAGCAGGGGATCGGATTGCTGACAAGCAAAGAGGAGTAAGACCTTTCCGAGACTTTCACGGTGTGGGTCTGGGGTCTAGGTCTTGAGGCATATCAGGCCTAGATGCGTTTCGTTGCGCTGGGATATGCGTCAATAAATTAGTGTGCTTGGACGCTGCTTGGACAGGTCATGCATCTAGGCGCCCGTTTGATGCGTTTGTGTGGTGCGAGGGTGCTTCGATGCCATTGCATAATAGTGCGCGACAGAGGTTTTACCGGCTTTACCTGCCCGGATTACTGTGGACTGTGCGATTCGAATAAGGGGCGCGGCACCATTGATTTTCCGCTGTAGGAGCCCCGCTCTTGCCTGGATGGGTTGGACAGTAAAAGGCGTGCTGCCGGCGCAAGGTCAGGCATCGCGCTGTGGTTTTTATGTGAAGTAGTACCGGTACTATATCCTTTGCCACTATTGTGCAGCAATGCGGTATTGTAAGTTTTTCACGATGTCGTATGAATCCCTTCCCAATTTACGACGGCGTTGCATGTGTACTGGAAGAGCTGCGGAGTTCGGAGCAAATCCTCCTTGAGCCGCAGCTGCAGAAGTACGGCAGCATTAGTACGGTAGCAGCGAGGAAAGTGCTGGCAGCACATAGCTCCGACATGGTTGACAAGTTTGTTGCGCATTGCGCGTTCAGTTGAGAGGTGCGCTATTCTGCTGAGTAGCAGTGTCAAGCCAAGTAGTGATGAAACTTCACAAGGCCCCTACTTCGGGACACGCAGATACGCAAGGTTTGTCGCCGTTCTGCACTTTCCGGCCTGGTGAGTGGTTTGTTCGCCACTGCTTGGCGCGTGTACTTGCGACGGGGGGAGAAACATGCGAAATCATAGCAGCAGCGGGAAAGCGACACCTCACAGTGCGGATCGCGTGGTGTTAACCTGAAGGGCAGCGTGTGCGTCTGCATTCGTTACATGTTGCGTTTTACCCTCCAAACTTATGACGGTGTGTGCATATACACATACACATCGGGAGATGATTGCGCTAATGGTTTGCGGCTGCGCCTCAGGCGCATAGGATTCACACAGGATATCGGTGCAACTTCGTGGGTCATGCCCGCTGAGAAGAATAATTTTCAAGACAGCATTCGCTTCCTGTTCATGGTCCCGCGAGTGGACCCGGACACGGAACAACTGTAGGGGCAGGACCATTGGCCAGGGGGGTCTACCGCGTGGGAAGACCGATCCACAGCTGCTGTGTTTAACGATCTGCTTGGACAAACGGCGCTTCCAGTGACAGGCGTACACCGTCAATGTGGATGACGATGGTACAGTCCAGCTACCCGAAGCAGGCGGACGGTAGTGACTCGCAGGATGTGTGCGCGTGCACCGTTCTTTTCAAAATGGACTGCAAGTGCTGCTGAGCTTGCACTGCTCTGCCGTGGAGGCAGGCAGGCAGGCAGGCAGGTAGGTAGGTAGGCAGATAGGCAGGTAGGCAGGTAGGCAAGCAGGCTAGAATGTGAATAGAATTTTGATCATTGCCGAGCCAGAGCAATACACGCAGCTGGTGACGAGCCCGTCTTTGGTTGGACACCGAAAGTCCCGTTATTAACAGAGGCCATCTGCCCCAACGCCTTGAAACACTCGCCGTTCCAACTCGCTAACGCGCCCACACATGCGCCAACTCCAAAGCTAACCTTCAGCTTCCTTACGGTCTCGTTGTTGTCGAGGAAAGCTCGGTAACCTCGTGTGTCCTAACCCCCTGTCGCAGCGGCGCCTACCTATCAACCGAAACAACGAACACTCGGACACCAACCGTTAGCCTTTCAGCAACGAAGAACGAATCCGCCATCCTCAGGCAAGCCGTACGTATGCTGTTGGTTGTTGCCACCACGTTCACCGCCATTATCATGCCGCTCGTACCCGTACTCGTACCCATGTCGTACTCGCAGTCCTCTTCACTCAATCTCCCGTCGCGCCTTCTCCGCCGCCTTCTTTGCGTCCTCAGCCATGTCCGCGGCGGCATTGCCCGCGTCCCGGGAGACTTTCCCCATCGCGTCGCCGGCGTCGCTGCACACAAGGCAGTGCACACAAGGCAGTGCACACAAGGCAGCGCAACGAGTCGCAGCTCAATAGTGAGTGAGCCGGGCAGGACAGGGATGGGATGGGAGTAATGATGCAGAACTGGTCAACACGTGTCAGCAGGCTGCACCACGACACACACTCAAGTGACAAACAAAACATTAGATTACGTAAGGCCACGCCGAGGTAGAGCTGGCTGGACTGCAGGACGATGAGATACAGGACGGTCCGCTGCATGGTGTAGGAATTTAAAAGAACAGAACAACTCTGGGCTGGGACGAGTTCAGAAGGGTGGGGCCCAGTGAGCAGCGTCTCGAGTTCTCCTCAGCACGAAAGCACACGCCGCAGCGTCGTACAGTCGTACGATTAAAGACGTCCAGGTATCATGTCGGCCCCCATTCCCTTCACTTTCAGCAGCGCCTCTTAACCAACGTTGTGTACAGTACTGGACAGTACAGTACAGTACAGTACTGGACTGGACAGTACTGGACTGGACAGTACTGGACTGGACAGTACTGGACTGGACAGTACTGGACTGGACAGTACTGGACTGGACAGTACTGGACTGGACAGTACTGGACTGGACAGGACTGGACAGTACTGGACAGTACTGGACGTGTACCGGACACATGGCACATCACCCGATACCAATTAGGATGCTAAGTTCCGAGACATAATTGAGCAAAAGCATTAAAGCGGGGTCAGACAGGGAACCGACGACGGAGGTGTCGAGACACAGAACAGCCTGATCCACACAAGCAAAAGTTCTTCGCTTCCCTCGCCTTCCTTACCGTGCGCCGCGATGGACGGAACGCGCGGCATCAGCAGCGGTATCAGCAGCTGCAGCTCCCGCACTCCGCGCCGCATCCTCCATCCTTTCACCCACGGACTCGGCCTCCCTCTGCACAAAACACACGTGCCAAGGAACACACTCCCAAGCTCTCTCACGGAAAGGCAATATGTGCTATAAGACTGGGACATTACGTCATCACTAACAGGTCCCAAAACGTCAACCAAGACTATGTCCCCAGGTGCACGCGCATGTATTCGAGTTGTGCAATGCGAACGACGCTGTTACGGCAGGCACAAACCATTAATGCGAAGGCCCTAACCACAAGAGACTTATAACTTGGACGACTCACGGCGGCATCGCGCGAGATGTCCTCGATGTAGTCCTGGGCCTGCTCTACCTTACGATGGGCCCCCGCACCCCGGATGGACTTGGCCGCTTCGGAGACGGTGTCAACGACTGCCTCGCCAGTGCGCTGTACACGTTCCCTGGCTTCAGCTGCCGCGTCCGCGACCTTGTGGCCTGCGGCCGAGGCGGCGGAGCGGACCTTATCAGCTGCGTCAGAGGCCACATCGCGGGCACGGCTGGCGGCGTCGGCGGCCTTGTCCTTCAGAGACTGTTGAGCCAGGTGAAAAGGGAGGTAAGGAGAGTTGATGAGGAGGGCGGTGAGGGCAGTTAAAGGGCGTTCTTTCTCCACAAAGCGGTTTTTAAGTTCAGCCGGTCGTCAAGCCAATCGTCACCTTTTTCATCATGTCAACGTAGGATTTCCCTCGCGGTTCAAAATTTCGTCCCTAAACCTATCCCTCGTTAAACGAGGAAAATAAAACTCACCTCGTCACGCCCGGCAGCTCGAACAACCGCAACCCACGGTCGTGGGCGGAGAGGTGCAGCGGCGCTGAAGCGGCCGAGGTTTCGCTGGCGGGCCGTTGCATTGGCGCCGAAGCGACGGCCGGCCGGAGCGACAGCGCGGCAATGGCAGAGCGCAGTCGACATGTTCGGCAGACAGGCAGGCAGGCAGGCAGGCAATATCCGGACCGACGGGACGGGCCTGGTTTCCTGCGTGATGACTTAAAGCAAGTATGACCAGGCTGTGCGTAATGGAACGCTCGTAGACAAGACGTTGGGTCCCGAAATATGTCCTCGCTGCGCGCTTTCAGGTTCGACAATAGGGTATTATTAAGTGAAGACGGGCGCTTCTTATATTGTGTTGTGGCTTTGGCGGCAATGATGTCAGGCCGCAGCTTTGAATCTTGGAGAGCGGTTCGGGGGTTGGTTGGAGATGGGTGATCGACAATTGCTAGTTGCCACGAGCGTCAGCCCAACAGACGAACGAACAGCCCCGAAACAAACAGCTCTAAGGGAACCTTGCGTCATGGGCCGAGGTTCTTATTAATGCAGCCCAACAAATCAAAAATTTTGGACTTGTGAACCTGCGTGAGCCTTTTGCTAAAGGGAAAGGCAGCGCGCACCCTGGCTGCGTGTCTCTCGAAGCGAGACCCCCGGGTCATTAGTTAAGCTTTCGGAGCCCTAATCGAATGACTTTGCGACCGGTACCCGCAGAAGAATAATTTAGGACGCAGAGATTTCTCGCTTTTGCTGTAAGAGTTTAAATAGACTTTGGCTGGAGGTCTCCAGCTCAATCTAAGCTTGGTGACAATAATGATGATTCTGTCATGCATTTGATTCAGTGAGCATCCAATTAAGAATTCCCATCCCCAAAGCTGAGCCTGCATCGCACCTTCCATAAAAGCCTCTCAGCGAGTCTCTAATAAAAATGGCAATCCATTATTTGAAGCATCCGTTCAGCTGCTACCTGGAGCTCGAAAGCCGCCTGGCTCCTCTGTACACGTCTTTACATCCAGTCTCAACCCTACACCTAATTAACTAACGTCAACTCCATTTGTAGATCCTTACACCTCTGATGATCGCCTTAAGAAAAAAATCCCTAGGACCGCTTCAGAATCATCAGAATAACGACCCAAGCAACATTGTAGGAGCTATCCCCCTCTACCTCCGTCTCTGTCTTTCCACCCTGGGGAAAACATCCCCCAAAGTCAGTTAAGCTCACGGCTGCTCTACTCCGAACACCCGCTCTCGACGCCCGCCCCGCTGACGCTGTTGCTGCGTCCAGAGCCCCCGCCCGCGTCCTTCTCCTCCACCTCCCCGCCGTGCTCCCCCTCTACTGCCATTACGGCATCCGCCAGTCCGTCTGCCGTACGGTGTGCCTTCGCCCGCATCGCCGCCCGTATGCGACGTGCACGCTCTAATGCCTCCGCCTCCACGCCCTGTAGCGCGGCCTCGGCACGGAGACCCGCCGAAGAGGCGTACTCGCCCGCCACCTCAACCGCATCCGCCGCGGCGCGGCCGAGGCGTTGTGCCGTACCTACCACCCGCTCCGCTGCGGCCCCTGCGGCGTCGCCGACAGCATGCGTCGCCTCAGCGGCCGCAGCCGCAGCCTTACCTCCCGTCGCTATGCCGATGTACGACGCTTTGGCTGCCACGGTGGCGGCGGCGTCAAGGGTCTTGTCCACGGCGCCATAAGAAGCCGATTGCGCTCGATGTGCCGCCGCCACCGCTGCTGAATCGTTGCTCGACGACGCCGGCCCCGGCTGTGCAGCACCGGCGGCGGAGCCTCCGCCGCCGTACTGTACGGCGGCCTCCGCTGCCCTGTCCGTCCAGTCATCTGTGGCGCCTGAGGTGGCGCCGATGTCGCTGCGGGAGATGCTCTGCCTGTCGTACATGCCGGGATCACTTCCACCGCCTGCGGCAGCGACTGCGGTTGTGCAGGTAGTCCCTTCCTCACCTTCAAACTGTACGGAAGTTCACAGCGATCCGAAGCGACGGGAGACAGTCAAAAGGTAATGCGGTGTCTTCCGGGACTCCGTGTCTAAGCGGTTGCCTAAACCGTTGGGGCGAATTCATGTTTTGATTTTGTTGGTAGCAGAGATAGCAGCGGGGTCCGGGGCCCAGGGATCCCTGCATAGCGTGCTGGGTAGGGTTGTACTGCAGCTGTAGGGTTGCAAAGCTCAAGGGCGGCAAAGAAAAGTCAGATACGACACGGTACGACAGAATGAGATTGGGCGGCAATGAGTCAGCAGCCCACCACCCACCATCCAACAGCTGCGCCTGCGTGTTGGACCCCCTCTCCCTCCGAATCCTCCACACAGCACTTTTCATTTCGCTTTCCCTTTTCCTTAACCTAAGACATGGAGACAGTAGATCCGCCTTATCTAACATCCCTAGGCAGGGACGCACACACAGTCACTCACCCCCTCCGAAGCCGCGTACGGCATCCGTTCCGCCGCTGACTTGGTGCCGCCGGAGAGCGGCTGGCGGAGCGGCCCCGAAACCAGCGCCTCCGCCGCAGCCGCCGGCCAGTCGTCTGGTGCTCGCAAGGCGCTGTCGCCGCTGGCCGCCCCCGCCGTACCGTGACCGGCATGCGGCTGGGTGGGGGGAGGCCCCCTGGCAGATTGCCCTGCCGAACGCTGTGATTCCTCACCTATAATTCATGTTGTGGAGTGCGGCCCGTAGGGGCCTAGGGTTGCTTGAAGGGCGGTGAGTTTGTAAAGGTACTTCGGCAACAACTGCAGTGTCAGCAACAGAACAAGTGAGCTCCATCCCAAAATACAATAAGCAGTGCTTACGAAGGGGCCCGAACGTTTCTGGTGCGCGCAAATGCTCACAGAAAGTCCTAGAATACAGAACTCCATAAGCCATCTGCCCTACCAACTGACCCACGGGTCGTTCTAGCTCATTTCCATCGCCCCATGGCGCTGTTGCCGCCGGTGCCAACCACTCTTGACGCCTCAACCGGCGACCGCTATGGAATCTCGCCTGTAATATTTCGTGGCGAAAGAAAAAAGAAAAACCGAATGCATTACTAGACGACGATAAATGTCGCAGTCCCCGATGGGGCTCCCGAGAGCGGAGTTGGGAAGACCGGAAACGAAGAGCTTCCTTACATTTGTATATTTGTTGTTGTCGTTATTTGCGATGTTGGTCGGGCGGCGCTGGTATGTGCCGGCGACCAGAGGTGCATTCGAAGCCGGAAAGAATCGAAGGTAGAAGGCCGAGGCCGACGCCGCCGGGGAGCAGAGTCGGAGCTGGTTGGTGTTCATCATGTTGTTGCTGCGGCTGCTGCTGCTGCTGCTCGCATGAACGTAGGAACAGTTACTGCGGCCACTTCGCGCAGGTTACGACACAGGGCAGCCTTGATTTAGGCGCCAAAACGACAGCGACGCGCGGTTATCTTTCGGCGGCGGAAAGACAGCGAGACAGAAGAAAACTAGATGCTCTGACTTTTTATATTGGCGAAGAGCACCTGAAAGAGTATATCAGGGTGCAATGCTGTGAAGGAAACTTGCTTCGGTAATCTCAGATGGATTTTTTTACCGTAAAAAGGTGACCTTGGTTGCGAAAGTCTGAGCCGGAGATGTGAGAGGTGAAATGGCGGTCCACTGCGTAATGGTCCAGGACGCCTTTGACGCGCCGTGACGTGACGTCTGGCGGGCCGATAGCCGCAACCACAACCGCTAACCAATGTTAACCAGCTGATGTGGCGGCATTGGAAAAAAAAGCCACGAGGAAAAGGCATATGTCTCATCTTGGCGCTCTGTTCTTTTGTGGTTCAAAACCATGTGCCGCAAAGATTAAGCCATGCAAAGCTGTGTTGGCTGGGTTGGCGCTACGTATACGTCTGAAAGGACCACCAGGAAGACTGCCTTGGCCAAGAAATGGAGCCTTTCCTTTTCGCCTTATTCGCGGACAAATCACTGTAATGGCCAACCAGTCACTCCGTTATCGGAATGAAACTCGCAAAGCCTTGGTATTCGCCAATGGCTTTTGGATCGAACAGCTCCATAATCTAGGATCAGATAACCATCCATCAGTTTCAAGGCTATATAACTTAGTGCGAATCCGTCATACGACCTCCACAGCGGCGGGGAAATGTCTGGACTTCCCAACCCGCCTGCCTTCCTTCAGCTGCTTGCCTGCCATTCACCTCCCCCCCTCCAGCTACTGTGTCCCTTCCGTCGCCTCTATCTGCCATATCCCTTGTCCTGCACAGCACTGGCCGGCCCACCTACGCTTTCCCCCATGTACTGTCTGCCCTGGGGGCCCCAGACATCTCTTACAGTTCCCACGGCAGTTACAGCCGCGCCGTTACAAAAAAAAACATCAGTTCCTGCCATGAGAACCCAAAAGCCTGCTGGCTTAGGGCCCTGATATCCCACCGGAACCTTAAAGTCAGGATCCAGGCTCCGAAACCCCAAGCTGAGAGCAGCAAGGCCTGCACCTGGTTAAACAAGCCCTAAGCCCACCACCCCGGGCCTCCACAAAGTTAGCCATTAGCCATGAGTCCGGAGTAGCCCCTAGCCCCTAGCCCAACCTAGAAGGGCTGCATATCCTCCGCGAGCTCTCACTATTGCCAGCCCCCTGCCAGGCACACGATATCACACACCACGCCACGCCAGTCCAGACCCCCCTAGTACAGCCCCATGACTGAGTAGCCGCCATCCACCGGGATCACCTGTCCGGTCACATAAGAAGCTGCGCGGCTGCACAGAAACGCCATCGTCCCTGCCAGGGCAGAGATTTTCCCCCGACACGCATACGGGCATAGACACACGTAGAGGCAGGCAGAGCGGGAGTTGCATCTTGATGAGGTGGACGAGCGGATTTGAAAGGGCATACGGAGGGGCAAGCGCACAGTGCTTCCATATCGCAATCAAGTGGGAAAAATGATTAATGAGCGAATATGATGGGACAGCGATTTAAGGATTCAGTATACATTTGGATGGTCGTAAAGACATAGGAAACGGGCACCCCCTACTGATTGGGAAGGGGGAGGGGTTAAGAATGCAGCCAGTCAGTCAGTCAGTCAGTCAACATGCCCCAGGCGTTACCTGCGACCTCTTCAGGTTGGCCAATCCGCTTCATGGGCGTTCTTGACAGCACATCCGCCTTCACAGACTCGTCCTGAAGCAGCGATCATACGAGTTACGGGGAAGGAGCATTAGGGCCCGAGGGTCTGGATGGGTCGGAATCGGACGGTGCAAGAAGCGAATGCTCCGCAGCTGCCGACACGTCCAAAGAATGCAAGTAATGGAGCTCCAAAAGGGCGGTTGGGTTATTATTGTGTGTATCATGGAAGACAAGGAAATGCACTGAAGACTCCAACAGGATGCATTCAAGTTGAGGCTACTAAGGGTTCATGTTGTATGGTGGTGTGCTGTGGGATTGCCAGATTGCAGTCAGATTGCCGGATTGGCTGGAGGTTAGGCGGACTGGCTGACGGGCTGAGGGACTGTGGGAAGGGATTGATCGAGTTAAGCAATTCGCGCACACAGCGTGCTCTGAAAGCGCGCGAAGGAAAAGCCATCATCCGCACGAGAGGATTTGTGCGACGAAAAGGCCATTTACCTGGAGAACCTGCAGCGCCAGATCGGTTGCTGTGTACCAGGGTGCCACGGAGTTGACCCGAATGCCCGCGGATGCCCACTCGCACGCAAGGTTCTTGGTCAGCTGATTGAGCGCCGCTTTAGTCATCGCGTAAATAGTTCCGGAGCTGCGTTTTTCCAATGATTTCAACAATTTAAGGCCTTTCAACAATTTAAGGCCTATCCAGGCAAAGGCATACTGAGAAAGGAAAAGCAACGGCGAATAATTTGCCATGAAGTTGCGCCGTCGGTTTCCTTTGACCATCAAACCATTTTGCCAAGTTCCTTAGCATAAACCTCAGTCCCAAGCACGAAATTTTCATCATTTCCCCGTGCTCTATCCTACCCTCATCCCACCTTTCCTCACGGTCCTAAGATTCTGCGATTTACTTCTACCTTACGAAGCCCCAGAGCTAAGCTCCAACAGCCCTAGAGTCCAAAAGCCCCTAAGACTCCCCCTCTTTCTCACCGCATGGCCGTGGGACCGCCCGCAACGGAGGAGTTAAACACGATGCTCGCATCGCCTGAGGCCTTTAGCAACGGATGACATGCCTGCAAGGCAACCGTGCGAAAAGACAAGCAGCCACATGAGTCAAAAAGGGCAACGACGCAAAAACAAGGCTTAGAAAGGAGCTACAGAGCCACGTCCGCACACTTGTACAGGCATACCGGCGCGAGCAGCTCTCCGCCACGCATTTCTAGCCCTCAGGCCCGCCTGAAAGCCCAGATCCCAGAGCGGCAGTGGTATCGAAATAAAACCTTCGAGCCCTCTGCCCCATACCTACCGCCCAGCCGCCCCTACGCCTGCCTGCCCTTCTAGAACCCTACAGGTCGCCGCCGGGTGGCGTCGGCAGTCGCCCCCTGGCTTCTTGCCATCGTATAATTCCCCTGCATAATTCCCGTTATCCGCGTCAGCAGCACCTGGCACAGGTGGTACGCGGACTCCAAGTTGGTCCCCATCAGGAAGCTGTACTCCTGGGGGGATGGGGCAGCCAGCCAGTGGTGACAGGGGAGCAGCAGTGAGGCCGACGGGACGGCGCAGCAGTCAGCAGCTCACAGCAGGACAAGCAAGGCCAGAAAGGCGCGGTACGGCGGTACGGCCGTACGGCGGCAGGGCAGCAATGAAGCGGATTTCTCTCTTAACGGATGGCAGGCTGAGCTGGGCATCGCATCTGGTTACTAACAAGACGGAACATAGGATGAATACCTACCCACAGCTCCGAAGAGATGAATACCAGGGATCCTAAGGCAAGGATTCACCTGCGAGTAGCTCGTGCACATGCCAATAGAAAAGTACGTGTGTACGGACGCCTATAGTGGTCAGGTGTAAAAGTCTGAGCGGACTCCTAAGCTAAGCGGGCAAGGAAGACGAGGAAGAAGAAGAAGACCAAATGACCCTATATGCGACTCGGCAACCACCGACCCATGGGTCACACCTCCCACTGGTCCTGTGGGGTGTCGACCCTGTGCTCTCGCTCACCGCTTCAGTGTACTCGACTGTCGGCTTGCGGATGTTGGTTCCCACGTTGTTCACTGCGATGAGCAATACCTGCTCTTATCGGTATGTATGTGCGTGTGGAAAGAGAGACAGCGTGTGATAAGGTGCATGGCATTGTCATGCACTTCTAGCGGCGCCCATAACTCCCCCTGTGGCTCACTGAGCCTTTTAAATACACATACATAATATGTGTATACAATATGAGCCTTATACATACATTACCCACACACGCAAGTATGTATGTTCATACACCGTGTAAGAAAGCAGGTAGGTGGTAGGCAGAAAGACCACCCGAGTAGCCCCGGGCGGCTTACCTGGGGGACCAACACGACAGCGAAAAACACAGCAATAGAGTTGCGGATGCCCAGGCACGACACCCTTACCTGCCTTCCTGCCTTCCTGTATATATGTCTGCCTGTTCAAATGTCTGCCTGCCTGTCTGTCTGCCTGCCTGTCTGTCTGCCTGACCTACCTAAAATGTCGAGCTTGCCTCCGAACTCGGTTGCCACGCCGTCCACGAGTTGCTGCCGCTGGCGCCGATCTGACACATCGCACACACAGCCCTGGGGACGTATCAGATCACAGAGAAGCCATCAGGCATGAGGGGGAAGGGATTGCAGTCGCGGCTTTGTTCGCGGGCATGGCAAGGCGGCCGGCTGGGATAGGTAGGCAGAGCAACCCGGCAGGTCGGAGGTAGGGAAGCAGGCAGGGGTGCATCTGCCGTACTGTACTTCAGGCAGGAATGTGCTTGACCTTCGCCTTCACCTTCCTGCTTGGCCTTCGCTTTCCTGGCCTGTTGGTTCGATTTGTTGCCCCTCGAAAACACCCCTTCGATAAAGACCCCTTTGAACGTACTCGCACGTCGATGCCCCCCGCCCGCCATTCCTTCAGCCGAACTTCGAGATCCTCCGCGGAACGTGCGCAAACGTAGATCTGCCCGGGTTCGAGGCAGGGAAGCAGCAGGCAGGTGGGCAGGCAGGCAAGCAGGCAGGTGGGCGGGCTGGTGACGGCGAACACCGGACCCATGGGTCCGCTGTACTTTTGTTTTCTCGCGGCGTGCACGTGGCCAAGCCGTGCGAGTGTGACAGGTTCATGCGTATGATAAATCAATGTCCGGCAAATATTTGGCGAGTGTGGGAGGATACAATCGCATCGGTGTGTTGGCAGCTTTGCACTTCCGACGCTTGATTTGACGTGCCTTCGCGCCAAGCCTTCCGAATTCATCGACAATGGCTCTCCCGATGCCTCTCGTCGCGCCAGTTACCAACGCAGAGCGGCCTGTTAGCCCAAAGCGTTCCAGAGCATGCTGTGAATAGGAACCTGATGTAGGAGAAGCATAGTGTTCTTGGCTCATCGTTTAACTGTAATATTCTCAGATCTACTCTCCGGCTTTCTAATTGGCAACCAAAGCGTTGTTTGCCCTCCGCTTTCCACACAATCTGATAAATCAAAGATCGCACGTGTTACTGTAAGCTAGCCTCCATTGAAACATTCTATTTTTAAAACGGCGTACACCCAAATGGCTGGTAGGACATCGGGATTTAACCAGTGCATCACCACACAACGCTTTCACGACAACCTCTTCTGTCATAGCAACAGGATTGGCTTACCACGAGTAAAATTAACCACGTTCTAAATGAAATTATTATTGTAACATGATACATTAACTTGTCAACAATGGAGGTGCTCTAAAAAAACACTGTAGTTTGGCATTGCCATAGTCAGCTTCCCTGGCGTCGATCAAGATATCATGAAATCAAAACGCCACGTGTTTCTTACGGGTGACCCCGGCGTTGGAAAAAGCACTCTGTGCCAGAGGGTAATCCGGCAGACATCGGAGATGGTGTGGGCGGGCTTCTACACAGCGGAGCTTCGCAATGAACAAGGTGAACGCCTTGGCTTTGATGTGGTGACTCTGGATGGGTCCCGCGGACCGCTGGCTCGTGTAGGCAAGGTAAGGCGCGAGGGCTGCTTTTCCCGCCAGCAGTCGAAGTGGCCCGACGCCGGACACACCTGTGCCTTAGCTGTGTACTTCCGTGACTACCAATACTAATGACTTGAAGTAAATATTTATGCACAAGCCCAGTGGCGGTTGCAGCTTTGTATGTGTTTTTATTCACTGGGCGGCTCCGAGCCGTTTTCTGACGAAACGCCACGGCTGACTTATCCTTGACTCAGGGCCGCGGTCCATCGGTGGGCAAATATACTGTTGAACTAAGCAGCTTTGAGCGCTTGGCATTACCGGCACTGAATGTTTCGACTCGTCGCCCAACGCTGCTGCTTGTCGATGAAATAGGTACGCTGGCAGGTACTCCTAAATGCAAGGCTGCTGTACCTCACCTCAATGCTATTTCTTCGGTATTTTGCCGTAATTGTTTTCCGTGCTGGCATTCACGCGGCCCAAGCCGTTTTTTGGTTGGCGCTCTTCAACCCAGATCGCGGCCCTCTCCCATTTAATGTATTATACGCGTTTTAACTGATGGACCGGTTATATCATGCTACATGTTATGAACTCGCTTTTCTCCCAGCTCATTCTTCCGGCTCATCCTGGTATGAGCTGGTTGATGCTATGTTACCGCAGGTAAGATGGAGCTCTTCTCGCGTGCTTTCTTCCCGGCTGTTCGCGCCGCACTTGATTCTACTTTTTTGGTGGTTCTTGGCACCATCCCAAGCCAGAAAGGGGCCAGGACCCTTCGCGAGGTGGAGGAGGTGTCCGCCCGCGAGGATGTCGAAGTCCTAACGGTGACCCGGTTCAACCGCGACGCGCTGGTGCAGGAGGTTATAGTCAGGCTACAAGAAAGCATGCGCTCAATGCAGAGTAGCGACGCTTCGTAAGGGCCCGATGAGCGGCAGGCAACCGTGCCGGCAACCGCGGTGAGCAGCAGCCGTCAGCATCAGCGACCTCCGTCATCAGCACGCCATGTACTAAGTACCATGAGGATAGGTTCGGGGGCGCAGCAGCAACGGCAGAAGCAAGGATTGTTGTGACGCGGCAAGGTGACATTCCGTGGTACCCTGGTATCATCAAGCTTTTGCAGCGGAGAAACCCGAGGAGACAATTCCGGCAGTCATGAGAGTCCTAAATTGGGGTCCTAGCAGGAGAGGTGCGCAGTGGGCCTGGCTGATGCCGATGGAAACGTTTGGCAGTTACGCAAGGTTGCTGGCTCCGCATGTGCAAGGAGCTCCTCGAGGACCACATCTGCACCGCAGCGGGTCTGCTGCATGGGCTGTAACCACAGCCGTGGCCTTGCTCAGCCGGTGCATGTCGGCTGACCCTATACCGCTTTCCTGGTTAGGCCTCTTGGCCAGTTTGGCCCGTCGAGAAGCCAGGGAAAATTGGTGCAGAGTTACATCGACTTTGGATATTTAAGATGTGGTTACTCGTGTACGTGGGATATAACTTCAACGTTGTCCGCGCTTCACAGGGGCAGTTGGCAGTTGACAGTCCTGCCTGGGTCATCGACCAGCGATGTTCCACCAGTCCGCTGGACCTTGACACTTTTTTGGACATGTAACCGCCTGGGACATGTGAACCCACTCGCCGTTCTGTTCGATAACGCTCTCAGTGATAGGTGAGATGGGACCCGAGTGCTGTCAGGCATAACCAATGGCGAATTTATGTTATATGTGGTGTAAATGGCATATTTCCGGGTCAATGATTGTAGGATTCCCAATAAGTATATCAGAGGGAAACTGAAGGATGACAAGCTCCAGTTTCCGGGCCCATGCATGCACACTTGCGCAAAATTACTGGACGGCTCTTCGTATATAATTCAGGCATGCGAAGTTTTGTCGTGAATCTGCAGCACTCATGTACAACTGATGTAGGCTGTAGGAACTGACGCCAGGAACTGGAAATTATAATTGTTTGTCAACGCCTTTTCGTATTCCTCTATTTTGGCTTCCAGCCTCGTCCTGTTAGAAGTTTGGGCCCGATGTGTCGTACGTCTGATTCTTTCATTACACCTCCTTCTTCGCGAAAGTCTTTTGGAGCTTGATACAACACCGGGAAGTTCCCAGGTTTCGCAGTTGGGTCCTGTCGAGGTGAAGAATTGAGTGGAATATTTTCTGAGAGGAGTTGAGAGAGCAGTTGGCGCACAGCTAACGACTGCGGGAAGCGCGCCGAGCGGATAATTTTCTCGTCATTCAGCTTGCAAAGGTGCGCAATACAGGGTGCGCTACGTTTGAACAGGTTTGTAGGCTGAAGTTCTATGAGGCTACATGCTTGCGGCTACAAGCGCTTTGGAATTTCGGAATGCTTTTTCCTGAACGTACTGAATAGTTGTTTAATTAAAATCTGGTGGTCTTCAGGGCCGCTGGGACAGCGGCCTGTCTGTCATGCTGATCTCTGCTTCTGGCGCGGTGCAAGTATGGTTGTCGCAATTTATCCCATTTTAAATCTGTATGCGTTTACGTTTTTGAGAGTTTAATACGCCAGCGCTCCTTATGATATGCTGAGTCCCTTACGTTATGGCCCAACTTCTTTTCCAGGCTGGTTGGCATATCTTAAAGATGTCCACCGTGTCGACAGCAATCCCGTCAAAAAAGCGTGCGGCCGCTGATGGCTCCGCCGTATTGTGCCAAGCTTCGAAGAAGACTGCAATGGATATGACTTGGCCTGCGTCTGGCTCCATGGGCAGCATCCCAGGCTGGCAATATCCCCCTCTTCCCATTGGGATGATTCCACCGATGCCTTATTGCATGGCGGGCAACCCGTTTTTCCCCTTCATGGGTATGTTTCCACCGTTTTGGCTTCCTGCGGCCGCTATGGCGGCAGCGGCGATGCCAGCATTAGCCGCGGCGTCCGCAACCAACACTTGCGTTGCCCCTGTTGTTCCCAACATTCCTGGTTCGGCAACGGGCCCGACGGCTGCAGCGGTGATGTGGCCCATGATGTCAGGCACGGTCGCTTCTCAGCCGGTATCGTCGGTGGCAGCACCCATGCCGGTGCCAGCCCGCTCGAATTCGGGTGCCTCGTCGCCGACGGCTATCCCGTCCGCGTCGTGCACGAACACCGTACCAACCGTCGGCGCTGGCCGGTCGGCGGCGTCACCGCCGCTGTTGGCTGCTTCGCCGGGCTCCGTCTGCAACGGTGGCCTGCAGCAACCCTCCGAGGATCCAGAGTTCGCGAACTTCATCGACTCTTTTCTGCTTTCCGAGGACGGTGACCTTGCCCTGCATGGTGGTGATGGCGACCTTGCTATGCCTTTCCCAGATGGCATGAAGGTGTTCCAGTCTGGCGACTTTCTGAGCTCGGGTGGTAGCAATGCAAGCGACGCAACAACGGATGACGTTGCTTGCCTGGCGCGCAATGACTCGCATTGCCTTCTCAGCCTCCTGGGTGATGACATCGATCTTACTGTTCTGTGATTTGGACTATGCGATGTATGAGCTTCAAGATACAATGTATGCCAAGAACGCGTTGCACTGGGTGATTTGTGGCTAGGTGCTAAGAGGAATGGACTGGAGTTCTGTCTTCGAGGGAAGCTCTGAAGTTTTGCATGGTTTTTGAAATTTGCGTGTCGAGAGGCGGTCTGGAGTGGCTAACTATTGAAATGGTTTAAATGGATGCAAAAAGGATGATTTAATTAGCAGTTGGACACTGATTGTCTAGATTGCTTTGCATAGGTGTGAGCACTGTTCTGTACCGGCTATTTGGCTGTGCATGAGCATGGGCATGCCGCGCACCTTTGGGTGCTTATATGATTTTGCGGGCCGAATACGGGTTCTAGGACGTGGCGGGGCTGCGATGCATGTGAGGATCTACAACGGCCAGTCCTTTTTTGACTTCTGTACGGTTCTGACTCTTGTCTTGAGTGATGCATTACTGAGGATAATGGAGGCCAGCTTCAGAAAGGCGATTTTGGCGTGCTCATTCGCCGTGGCGTCTGCAGCATTCTGCTTAGTAATGGCGCTCTACATTCCAAACGCGGAATGCTGTTTTTTTTAAGTGCCGCGGTTTATGTTTGTGCTTTGGTCGCTTTTTGGTGGCACTTGCGCGAGCAAGCGCATGCGTGTTGATGGCACGTTGAGGCATCGTGTATGAGCAGGGTAGCGGAGAAGGCATGTGTCGTTGTGAAGGCTTTGTGGCGCGTTCACTAGCGACGGCCATGCGTGCACGTTGGTGCATGCACTTGTTTGGGCCTGTTGCAGTTACAGCAAGTTTCGGCTTTTGTCCTTATCTACCCTAAGAGAAGATAATCATTATCAATATTGTGCTTTACCGGTTTGTATCTGGATTGTTCTTGTTTATGCGGTTGTATGGACTGGTTGCTGTCCATGCGAAGAGGACATCCTATTCTGCTGTCTGTTAATAATGTTTCCGGTCCCAAGGCGACTCCTCAGAGGCTTGGGCTGCTGTGCATAGAGTTTGCTGCTTAATGAAGTGCCCTTGTGCGTTGTCTTCCTGGTTTCGTGGTCTTGTCAGTCGTTTCTGTCAGTGAGGTGTCTCACTTGTTTTCTTTTGTTTTCTGCACTTGGGCAAACAAGTTCATGCAGCGTTCGCTTATGTGTTGTTTACGTGGTATTGTTGTCCCGTGCTGTGTTTCCCAGTTTGTGAGCAGTTCGCCTGACTGTACCTTTGACGGAGATGGGAATTTGGCGAACCGGACGGTATCCATGGCCACGCGATCCCAACGGTCCCACACTTCACACGTCGCGGCTGGAGTTGGCATGGATGGAAGCTGGTTACCACACTGGAGTATAATTGCATCACCACAAAAAAGCGAAAAAATGTGTGGAGCGTCAATTGTAATAACATGGTGTCGCTTGCGAGTTGCTGTATTACTTGGCCCTCGTCCAGTCCGCGTCCTCCCGCTCATGCTTCACTTCGTAGCTGCAGGACACGCTTTTGTAGCTTTGTTTCTACCGACAGCATCGGTCACTCAGGTTTCCTCGGGTCCGCTCCCATCATGGCAATGCGAACGCTCAAGGGGCTGCGTCTGCCGTCGTCTCCATGAAACGTGCATGCATGGGACTCGATGGTTACCAATGCAAATCATTTTGTTTTACTTGTCGCTAACATGGAACCACGGCGCGAAATGCTACACGCTATCGTACCGACAGACCTTAAACTGACCTGAATCCATTTATTCTGCGCCCAAGTGGAATGTGGTACTGCCGCGCCGTTGTATGAAACGTGCAAAGCATTGTCGTCTAGCTAGTAGTTGCTGGTGCTCCGTTGGCTGGCTGTCCAAAGATTTTTTGCGTCACTTTTAAGACGCACTACCGTGATACAGTTCATTTGTTCTATTTCTGGTCATGGACGGTAACGTAGTAAGGACAAGCCTGACGGACATTGTGGCAGGGACAGCTGCCCTTACCATGAAAGACGCTGGACAGAATGGCGTTGGAACAGTCAGCTCTGTGACAATGCGGGATCGTAGCTACGGGGGAGCTCACGACGAGGAAGATGAGGCCGAGCAGGAGCTGCTCAAGGTGCAGTCGCCGACGTTTCGGCAAAACAGGTAAGCCTGTTATGTTACCATGGCGGTTCTATGTGTAGCCCGTCGACAATTTCGGTGGTCCCTGGCGATGTATGCAGACATCCGTTCCTGATTGGGGTAGCCGGTGGCACAGCCTCGGGCAAGACAACTGTATGTGACCGCATCATGCAGCGTCTGCATGATCAGTGCGTTGTCATGCTTTCCCAGGTGCGTTGGGCATAGGCCCGCAAACAAACCAGGCGAAACCGAACATGGGTTGAACGGCCGGACTTGAACTTTCCGACTTTGGTACCATGTGTAACTGTTTGAGCCGGCGCTGGTACCATGTGAATAATTTTTAGGCCGAATTTTTGCGCTTTTCGTTATTGACGAGGGATATGGATAGGGTTCCCTCGCGCAACTCGCAGAAGTTTACTTTCGGCCGGTGATCTTTCCCTTACTAAATTTTCGAGCACAATTTGCTTGCGGTTTCTACGGGGCAGGTCCCTCTCCCACACGCCTTTCTGTGCACCCGACCAGCTCTGCGCAGGTACGCACTGAAGCTGTTATGCAACCTTCACCACGTCGCTCCCCCAACCCCACTCTCCTAATCCCGTGCCCAACCCTGCTCCCCTACACCCCGATCCCCCAGCACTTGGTGCTTCAAGCGACAGCAGTTGTGTCTTAGGCTTCCGCAAAGAATTCTCATCACGACCCTTCCCCCAGCAAGCCCATCCACCCTCGCCCTCGCGCCCTTTCCCCTAGGACTCCTTCTACCGCACCCTCAATCCGGACGAGATGGTCCTGGCCAAGGCCAGCAACTACAACTTCGATCACCCGGACGCACTGGACCGCCAGGAGCTGCTCAAGTGCTTGCAGCTGCTGAAGGAGGGCCGCTCTGTGGACATCCCCATCTACGACTTCGCCTCGCATTCGAGGGCCAAGGAGACACGCAGGGTATGGCGCTGCTCCCGGCCTCTGCCACCTGCTCCTTGGTATCGTGTACTATCCATAGTATTGGACGTCGGTAGCGAAGCGTCCTAACTGCATGCTTTTTTTGCACATGGAGACGGTTCCGCCCTTATCGTGTAGGGTTTTAGTCCAACTTTCTTAGGCCAGCGCTATCTACAAACTAGCGGTGTTTGGCGCAAGCACGCGCGCGTCTTGTGTGTGTATGTTACATATGTATATATGTATGCATGTATGTATGTTGTTAGGTGGACCCTGCCGACGTGGTGATTGTGGAGGGCATCCTGGTGTTGGCCATGGAGGAGATTCGCGAGCAGCTCAACATGAAGATTTACGTGGACACGGACGACGATGTTCGACTGGCTCGCCGCATTCAACGAGACGTGGCCAGTCGCGGTCGCGACGTTGCAAGTAGGACCCGTGGGGTGGGGGGTGGACGCGTGGAGACATGGATTGTGGCGGAGGGGGACGGTAGCTTCTAGCGCTCTGCCCTTATCTCTCTCTTTCCTCCGTTCTTTCTTTCCCTCTCCTTTCTTTCTCTCGCTCTCTCCCTCCTCTCTCCCCTCTTTCCTCTTGTTCGCGTACGCAGCAGGTCGTGACCTCGTAAAGGCCTGGCGGGAGCGGGGAGGGCTTGGCCAGGGGGCGGGGAGGGGGGAAAAGAGGAGAGGAACTAGATGGGCATGAAGAATAGAGTGGGAGGTGGCGTGACAGAAGGTCAAAGAATCGCTGGCACTGGTGGTGATGATGATGGTGGTGGTGGCAGCGGTGTCCGGTTCTCTCAAAGCTCCTCCTTGCCTCCGGCACCACACTTGACTAGTATTCTTTTCTCCACTCCTCCTAACCTCATACACACATACATGCCTTTCCCGCCTCTGTCTCCTCCCGTTGTCCTTCTCAGCCCCTAAACCCAACCCCAATCCCCGGCCCGCCCCCAACCCCGGGCCCCCCAACCCACCTCTATTATAAACGCCGGCAGTTGAGCCCTCGCTTCTTCTTTTTCTTTTTCTCCCTCTTCTTCTCCGTCTTGTTTTTTTTTGCATCCTCATCCAATGATTTCCCTTCCCCCCCTTCACACGCGGCCCCCCAGGCGTCATCGAGCAGTACACCCGCTTCGTGAAGCCCGCCTTCGACACCTTTATCGGCCCCTCCCGCCGCCACGCCGACATCATCGTGCCCTGGCAGTCCTCTGAGAACATCGTGGCCATCGACCTCATCACGGAACACATCCGACTGAAGCTCAGGCAACATGACCTCATTCGCATTTACAGGAACCTGGAGGTGTGTGCAACCCACATCCGCGATGACGGGGCCAGGGCAGGACGGGGAGGGAGGGTATCTTCTTTAGGGTAATGCACGTTTGGGGGTAAGGCTAGGAGGGCGGAAAAAGGGAGGGTTAGGGCAGTTTGGTTTCGGGTCAGTTTTATGGGGTCTTGGAGGTGTGTGGCCTCTCCTCCAGTCCTCCATTTGCGCGACCGGGCAGGCGTCAGATGGGCAGGCTTTCTACAGGGGTGGGGGGGGGGCCCACGGAAGGGCAGAGCGCTGGATGGGTTCTTGGCGCAAGGGGGGCAGGGGAGAGAGAAGAGGCAGCTACGTTTAATTCAGTATACAAATATAATGCGTCTAAATAGTCGGGTTTTAGGTCTTTAAATCCTCGTTTTTATGGAAAGCTGCGGGTGGATTTTCATAAATGAAGGGAGCAGAGAAAGGGGGCCTTGGCGGCAGCAGCAGGAGCAGCAGCAGCAGGAGGGGAAGCGCTGCACAACCCAAGGGGAGGAGAAGCAGGGCCGGCTTGCAGACGCACCCAACGGTGCGACTGGCCCCTTCGCCGGGGAACCCACCTGCGATTTCCATCTTGGGAGGTCTCCCCCCGTTGACACAAACCTGTCACTTTCAAAGTTCATGTAATCCCTCTCTCCCGCCCGCCTCCCAACATCGGCCGTTGATTCATTACTCTCACCGACTAATTTCCTCCCTTCTCCTCTCCCACACGTGCGCTACTCCCCTCCACTCCCGCCCTCCACTCCCCCTGTTTGGTTGGCCATGCAGGTGATGCCGTCCAACTTCCAGATGCGCGGCATGCACACCATCCTCCGCGACCGGGAGACCTCCAATTCGGACTTTGTCTTCTACGCGGACCGCATCAACCGTCTGCTGGTGGAGGCGGGTCTGGGCCACCTGCCCTTCCAGGAGAAGATTGTCACAACCCCTACAGGTGAGCGTGTGGGCCGGGGGCTGAGAAGGGGGAAGAGAGGAGGGAGGAGGAGTTATATGGGGATACAAGAGAGGAAGCGAAGGGGGGTCAACTGTTCCGACACGTTCTCTAAAGGCATTCAACTGTCGTAATGTCGGTGTGGGGTCGCTAGTGTGCGATTTGAAGCGAGTCTGCACACGTGTGTGTGTGTGTGTCGATGTAAGCGGTTGCAGACAGCGGCGTTGCGCCACTTGACCGCTATCCTCCTTTTGGAACCTGCTAGGTGTGAAAGGATCTATTTGCCCGAGGGTTGCTTGAGTCTCCAGTACACTTTTTGCGTGGGCGCCGCTCCCCGTTAACCGTTTTGGGAAACCCCATGTCTCTCCACATCCGTCTCTTCACGCCACCCACCCGCCGCGCCCGCACCTTTACCGCCGTAAACCCCCTTTCCTCGCTTTGGTCGTGTGGGCAGCTGGTCCTTTGCTGCTGCTTGCATCATCGTATAATTTTCCGCCCTCCCTTTACGCCACCATTTAGGCCACAAGTACGTGGGCGTGGAGTTTGCTCGCGGGCTGTGTGGTGTGAGTGTGATTCGCAGTGGCGAGGCGATGGAGGCGGCTCTGAGGGAGTGCTGCCAGGGAATCAAGATTGGCAAAATCCTGGTGCATCGGTGGGTGTTCTGTTCGGAAAGGGAGGGATAAGGGAACGAGGGTAACAAAGGTAAAAGCGGGCTGGGGTTAAATAAGGGAGATGGCGTAGAAGAGGGGTTGCGGGGTGCAAAGTGTAAAAGAAAGGGGCGTGGAAGGGGGTAACGGTGGAGAGGGAGATTGGAGTGGGTTCCTATAAAGGCATCATGGCCGTCTTCCTTCTGGTCTCGCACTCTCCCCATACCCTGCCTTTGCCGCGCTCCTTGTGAACTGACCTGGTCCCGACCCCCTCTCGCCGTTTCCTGTTCCCTTTCCCCTCCTCCCCCGCTCCGCATGCACATATATGTGATGTACATGCGGACATGACTTGTGTGGCTTACTTGGGTTGCGACCTTTAAACTCCTTCAATTGTGGGCTCGGTGCTTTCGGACCTGGGCTGGCTGTGAACGGACCTGGGCGGCCACGTTGCCTTCGACGGACTGCTTCTCTGGTTCCCCAGTCACGGCAAGAGTGAGGACATCATTTATGAGAAGCTTCCTGCGGATATTTCCCGCCGCTATGTGCTGCTGCTGGACCCGGTTCTGGGTACCGGGAACACGGCATGCAAGGCGATCCAGGTGGGTTGGTGTGACCGTGAAGGAGGGGATTTGGAGGGGGAGAAAGAGATGACAGGTGGCGGGGTGTTGGGGGCGGAGCATTTACGAGGGGACTCTGAAACCCTCTCATTTCATCCTCATTTTCCGCTCAATTTTACTTTAGTAACATGTATGTCATGTTTTCTGTCCTGAGAGGGAAATACAACTTATTTCCTTGTTTCCTTCATTACTTTTCAGGTGCTGCTGGACAAGGGCGTGCAGGAGAGCAAGATTCTGTTTCTGTGCATCATTGCGGCTCCACCTGGCATTCACCGTGTGTGCCAGGCCTACCCCCGCGTCAAGGTCATTACCTCGGAAATCGACACCTCCATCGACGAGAACTGGTCGGTGGTGCCGGGTGTGGGCGAGTTTGGCGACCGCTACTATTGTTGATGAGATGATGACGATGACGGGTGATGATGACGATGGTACGGTGAAGCGCAGTCGGAAAAAAGGAAAAAACGATTACATTCGGCTTGTGACGCAGTCAGTATGTTTGGAAGAACACAGCGCTGCCGAACCCCAGAGCATGGGGGCCCCTGTTTGGTGCTAAGAGGGGCCGGGGTGCGATGGTGGGAGGAAAGGCCGGGGTTTCGTCCCTTTGGTCCTTCTGGAGAGACGTAAGGTTTGTGGGGGAAGTGAAGTGCGAAGCAGCGCAGGACACTGTTCGAATCGTGCGGACGGCGGGCGTCGAATTTGTTGTTGTTGCAGCAGGGGGTAAAGCTTTGTGCTTCTGGGGCCGGACAGCGCCTGGAGACTGCGCGACTGGCTGCGGTGGAGAGGTGAGGGGTGAGATGTGAGGGGTTTGCGGTGTGGGACTGGGTGTTGATGCATGCGCGCGTTGCACGTGTGGCTTTCTGGCGGTTGCGAATACTGACGTGAGGCGAGGTGCGTAAAATCTGCGAGACGATGAAAGGGCTGGTTTCCGTGGGTAATAGTGCTGGTGGCGGTGGTAGTGGTTTTGTGGTCGCGGCGCGCGTATGAAGGCCTTGTGCCATCGCCAGAATTGGGTAGTTCCCCTTGAGATTGGCTTGCTCATCTGCTGACTTAACCCAACCAGTACGCCCTGCAGCGACCTTTCCTAAGACCTGGTGCTGTGTTTTTTTCCTTTTCGGGGGACCACGACACTCATTGAATGAGGGGCACGACGACGACTCTGTTGCAGTGCGGCGCGGTGTGGTGTTGCGAGTGCTGCAGTTGTTTGACAAATGCCGCTGTGGAAGTGGTTCTGTCTGACCGTGCGCCGTGCGTGTAAAGACCTGCACTACGTCAAAGACTGACAGCAGACCTAGATAAGGACAAGGACACGGTCACGGTTTCCTTTGGGGCCCATTATTGCCTGTGCGCTGGTTCGTCGTGCAGGGCCAGGGGCGATGGCGTGCATGGCACTGTGGATGGTCGCTGTCCGCTCTTGCGCCATGAGAATCACGGAACGTTCTAGAGAGTGGAGGTTGCTGCCCTAGGGGCCGGCGGGGCTTATGGTACCTGGTGCATAGTAGTTTGGTCCAGTCCGGTCGAACCGCGTTGCGGTGTGATGAGGAACACGATATTACGTCATTGCGTGCATCTATCTGACGTGGCTGGCGTGGTTCAAGGTGCGTTATAATAACGTGTGCCCAGTTTGGGTGCCGGATGGGTTTGAACCACCCGTTGTGAGTTCGGATGAGCCCTGCGTTCAGGTCGCTTACGTCCGGTTGGGCTTTGCGGTACAAGCGCCCGGGGACTTCTGGGTTTTATAAAGCGAGAGCCTTGGACACGATTGCGCCTAGGGGCGTCCTGTTATTACTTTCCACAGACGTGACTGCACTTGTCCACCTTATGGATTCAATATGGAGAGCGATTCACCAGAGTGACAAGGGGTGTACGGATTGCGTACGGTGTGCTGATCCGCTCTTTTTGACTCTAATAATGTATTCGAATTCCTTGTCGGTGTTGGATTATCGGAGTGTTTGTCTTTAGGGCATCGCCTCACGTGTGGGTGGATTGCTAAGCTGCTAAGTCCAGCCTTTAACCGAATTTAGAGATACGACAAGAGCGCATCCGTGTAATTTTTTTGTGACAATTGAGTTTGTTGCTCTAAGTATTTCGTGCCTACGTTACGATGCAGGCCTTAGCTTCACAGCGTGCACTACCTGCTGCAGCGCAGGGCAAGGGGCCTTGTTTTCCGCTGGCATTTAAATCTGTTAACCTTGTTAAGGGGCTTTGCGGCCATGTGCTTCAGCGCACAACATGCCGCCGCATTACGCTACTGCCTGTGCGCGCAGCACCAGAGACAGAGCCAGGCACATCGGAGAAGCCGCAAGTTCCCGCAGCAGGGCTATCGCAAAACGGAAATAGTATCCCATCAACTGGAACTAGCGGCACTGGCGTAAGCAGCTCGACATCGTCTCCTCGGCGAACAACATCGGCATCCTCGCTCGGGAGTGTTGAAGATGACAGCTTCAGCTGGACAGAATTTTTCAATAGCAATCTTCCAAAAAAGCTTGGTGGACTCTTAGCACTCCTGTTGCTTAGTCGTGTAGGCGTCTACATCCGCTTGCCAGGAGTCGATGTGGACGCGTTTGCGGAGAGCTTGACGAACTCGGGACTTCTGGGGTACATCGACACACTTTCTGGCGGCTCGATCTCCAAGGTACAGGTTGGCGTGGGTGTTAGGGTACTTCTTGGGTAAAATCGACCCAGCCGGCCCTCACCGGAAATAAACATCGCAGCCAGCATTTCGCATCTTCCATCATGGAGATTGCCAGGACATCCGTGCTACCCACCTTGGAATACCTTTCTAAACCATCCGGCATATCTCCCACCCGGTGCCATGTTTTTACTCCTTTGTCCATCGGCACCTGACTCTCTTCGCATCTCGAACTTGCATCCGAGGCAAAACCCTGTCCTCTCCCTCCCTCCCTACTCTGTCGGCCACCTCTAATCCCCATCCTCATCATTCCCCCACACCCAGGTCGGCCTCTTCAGCCTGGGCATCATCCCCTACATCAACTCCTCCATCGTGCTGCAGCTCTTCTCCGCCGCCTTCCCCAACCTCAAGAAACTACAGCGCGAGGAAGGCGCGCAGGGCCGAGCCAAGTTCCAATACTATCAGAAGCTGCTCGCCTTCGTCTTCGCCATCGTGCAGGCCGTCGGACAGCTCTTTTATATCCGGCCTTTCGTGGACGACTTCACGCCCGGCTGGCTGGCAGGCAGCTCGTGTGCGCTGGTCGCGGGCGCCATGGCCCTGGTGTACATTGCCGACACGATCAGCGAGCTGAAGCTGGGCAACGGGACCAGCGTGCTCATCTTTGCCAACATCGCCTCGGCGCTGCCGGCATCCATTGGCCAGCTGGTGGCGCAGAACGGTGAGGAGAACCCGCTCAACCTGGCGTTCTTTTTCGCTGCGTTTGCGGCGACGACGCTGGGGATCATTTACGTGCAGGAGGCGGAGCGGCGGATCCCGGTTAACTACTCGAACAGGTGGGAATCGACGGTACGTGGGCAATCGATTTGGGCAATCGATTCAAGGGCAGCACCGGTTGTGTTAGGACATGAAAAGGGTTTGTGGTGTTGGGGAGGTTGGGTCAGGGGCGACAGGGGAGCGGGGTTATGATAAGGTCATCCAGTGGTGGGCGCCCGTGTGGATTTCTGTTGTTGGGCCCGGTCGGTGTGGGAGCTTGGGGACGTGGTGTGCGAGGGCGGGAGGCGGGAACGGGTGGGTGCCTGCCGAGTAGGTCGCCCATGGTTGCTGGGTGGCGGCGGGAGTTGGAGACGTTAGGGCCCCCTAGGGATCGGGGCCCGTAAATGCTCCAGGGGGTTCCGGCGGTGCAGTCCGAGCCCCGAGCTCGGGATGACAAGGGTCGTCGGCGTTGTGTCACAGTGCACCGCAGTCACCCCTCTCCCCCCTCTTGCTCTAACAAGGCGGGGGGAATGAAGTGAAGGGAAAGGAGCGGGGCGGAAGGGGACTGGAGGGTGGGGGGTGTTCAGCCGACTGGATGTAACGACCCCGTCGTCTTACCTCGAGTACCTAGCTGGGGGTGTAGCTAGCTAGCTGCTGCTGTTACAGGGGCATGCAGTGACGTGCGGCACCTCCCGCGACACCCTCCCCGACCAACATCGCAACTCTCCCACCTCTCGGCCCCCGCAGCTGTCTGTTTGACTTTTGTACACATATAATCTCCACCATTACCGCCACTACTACCACCACCAGCATCGCAGGCCAAAATATCCCCACCTCCATCTCCAACCTATCCCCGTAATACCTTTCCCTGCTACCTGCCCACCTACCTGCCCACCTACCTGCCGACCTACCTGCCCACCTGCCTACCTAGTGTCGCTGTGCCTAACGCCATAACGCCCACCCTCCTCCGCCACTGCCCCAGGTACTCCTCTGGCAACCTGGCACGTCAGTCGTACCTGCCCTTCAAGGTGAACGCTACGGGGGTGATGCCGCTCATCTTCGCCTCCTCCATCCTGGCACTGCCCGCCGCGTTGGCGCGCTACACGGACTCGGCGGCGCTTGATGAGTTCTCTCGCTCGGTGGGGCCGGGCGGGGCGCTGTACGTGCCCTTCAACGTGGCGCTCATCGTCTTCTTCAACTACTACTATACCTTCTTGCAGGTGTGTATATGTATGTATGCATGTATGTATGCATGCATGTATTGAAGTATGTGTTGGAGGGGAGAATTTTATAATGGTGGAAGTAAGTGGAGGTGGAAATGGCGGTGAGGGCTAGTACGCTTAGGCCTAAGGGTGGATGGTGTGGCGTGGCGTGTGTGGGGGGTTGGTTCAGGGGGCCCTCTTGAAGGTCCTGTAGAAGGAAAGAGCCTGCTGCCGCTGTCACATTGCCGCGATATCGCTGCTGGCGATGGTGTGGATGTCGTGGTGGTGGTGATGATGATGATGATGATGGTGATGACGATGGTGATGCGGCTTGTTGCAGTTTGATTGGGTGTGTTGTGCGGAGAGGGGGTTGGCGGATGGCGCATTGACCATGGGTCTGTTAACGTGTGTGTATGATACACGCGGCTGAGTGGGCGATTTCGGGGTGGGATGGAAACGTTGTCCCGGGCGGTAGGAGGAGGTTGTGTTGTCCTCACCTGCCGTGCCGCTGTTCTCTTTCCCTTCCCCTCCCCGCCCCGAAACATTCGCCCCATATAGATCCATACATGCGTACATACGCACACACGTACATTTCCTTCACCCCCATTAATCCCCTTGGCACCTTTGCCGCGAACTCTTGTCAGTTGGAGCCCAAGGACCTGGCCGAGCAGCTGAAGAAGTCGGGGGCCGCCATCCCCGCCATCCGCCCCGGTCGTCAGACGGCCGAGTACGTGACCCGCACCCTGACCCGCATGAGCATCCTGGGCTCCGTGTTCCTGGGTGCGCTGTCGGCGGCGCCCGCGCTGGTGGAGGGGGTGACCCACCTGACGGCCTTCAGGGGCTTTGCGGGCACCTCCGTGCTCATCATGGTGGGTGCGGGGACTGGGTGGGGGGTTTGTGGTGTGGGTGGCGTGTCTGATATGGAGTGTAGGGCGGGATGGTGGGGCGGGGTGGCGTAGGAAGGAGGTGGAGAGAAACAGTGCGGGAGGTGCAGGCGGGTTTATGCTCCCATGGTATATGATGGTATATGATGATAAGAAAGGGTTATTTGGCATCGCGCCACGGCACATGTCACTTTTAATTGAGTCGCTGTGTGGTTGAAAACGTACGGTGTTGATCACATCGTCATTATCGTCATTCCCACATCACCGCATTTCTTTTCATCGCCTGGCGTCCCTTCAAGTGACTCGTGACTCCTCATCTCCTGGCGGCCCCTCCCCCCCCCAGGTGGGTGTGGCGACCGACACGGCCCGCCGCATCAGGGCGGAGCAGGCTATGGCCAAGTACCAGGATGTGGACAAGCTGTACGACAACCTGAAGCTGTAGAGGATGGTGTCCTCCTCGCGTATGGACGTATATCCCGCCACATGTCGTCGTCTCTTCGACCTTGTTGAGATTCTCGGTGGTGTGCTGGGCGGTGGGGGCGATGGGGGCAATGGCCAAGCATATGAGCGATGAGAGGTGTACGCTCTCTCTCGCGCTCTCCCTCCTCCCTGTCCTTTGGTAACGATAAAGGCGCTACTTTCTGCAGTATGTCGTGTGACGGCGACCGCCTGGGGGGTGGTGGAGCAAGCAAACCTGTTGGTAGTTTAACAGTGTGTGTGAACTGATCGTCGCGAGAGTTGGGACGAGGTGAGGCGGTATGCGGTGCCTGTGTGGTGGGGACCGGAATGTTCACCTTGACGTAGACGGGTGGCCAGGTGGCAGCTTCACGTTTGGGGTGACACTTTCCAGTTGCGTCCGTCTCCCGATGACGAGGAGTCAGAGGATGTTCCGAGATCCTTGCGTCAGGACGTTTGCCCGAATCACAGAAATGGCTCTCGTGTGGAACTGCTGAGTGTGTCTGTGTGTATCAACGCAGCACTGCAGCCAAGGTCTTATTTTCAGGAGGTTTTTTTAGTTTCCTGTTTTTCAGGCCTTTTTTCAGTTTTGGTTCCAGTGGTGTGTGTGTGTGTGTGTACATATCGGGTGCTTGTTTTTGTTGTTACAAAGTGGTAGGCTTCTGGGCCAATAAAACATATGGGTGCATGTGTCGCGTAGCAGCAGTGAGGCAGTGGCGGTGAAGGGACGTGGGCTCGATGTGAGGAACTTGGACAGGAGGTCTTGCCCTCGGACACTTGCGTGTACGCGCTGTGGGCTCGCGCCGTGCGAAATGACTTTAGCTGAATCAAACAGCTCTAGTTCCTCAGCTCCGGAACCCACACCCGCGTCCCTCACGCGCAAAACACACGGATGTTTCCTCCAGGCCATACAAGACTTATCCCGACCCCGAGCTGCGTTGCCGCCGTCGCCGTTGCTCAGAACCCAAGCCTCCTCAGCCTCACGCTTAGTTCAGCTTCAGCGTGTTGCAGCATCTACAACAGCTATCCAACAGCGGGATATTCTCTTCCAGCACCGAACCACATCACCAGAGGGGTTTTCTGACACCCCCTCAGACCCCAGGTCGGGCCCTTGCAACCTCCGCCGCAGCTCGGAGATGTGCCACAAGGTGTGTCTCCCACCCCTGCAGCTTATCATATCCCGGGAAATAGTTCACATCAATGACGTACAGCACACAGGAACCACCGACACCCGCCTTCGCCAACCCCATACCCGCACGGGCCCCCTCCTGCTCTCCATGCACCCCTACCGCCCCCTCCACCACCTCCGTTGTCGGCATCACCACATCGAAATTAAACATGGTGAGACCCATCCTGTGTGAGAGCTCCTGTGCGACCACGCCCAGGACTTGGTCGCCCAGGCCCCCACCGGACGATATCGCAGGGCCCCCTGGACCGTCCATCTCGGCTACCTCCCTCTTCCCAGTCGCCCCCTCCATCGCAGTCGTCTGCGCTGTCACACCATCGCCCTCGGCGATGGCGTCAGGTGCATGCAGACCTGGTTGCGGCTGCGCCGACAAATGCTGCAGCACCAGCGGCGGCGCTGGTGCCCCATCGGCAGGGCTAGTGCCAGCTGCAGCGGCCAGGTCACCTGTGCTGGCCGAAGCCGGTGACTGCAGTTTGGACGGCTGCGACGGCTGCGGATCATCTTGTTCTCTGCGGGCCTTACCCGCCGGAGACGGCGCATTTCGCATGGCACTGAGGCAGCTAAGGGTGAGAGAGGAGCGACGTGTCACCTGCACGTGCTCGCCTAAAACATACACCTGCGCAGAGGGCACCGATGGTGGCGGCAGCAGTGGCGGTGGCGGCCAGCCTCTACGTTTACAAAAGCGGGCCGCCAGGGGCCCCCCTGTCGCTTTCGGAAAGACAAGAGTGCGCGGGGTTGCGGAGTTCGTTCCCAGCCACCCGCGTCAGATCTGCCTAAAGAGTTGCGGAAAAGTACGAGTACCGCGAGTACCCAAGGCGTTGCCTGGACGGAAAGGCAGTTTTCGCTTTCATAGTTTCTTACCAAAACGCCCGCAACAGCAACAGCTCATACAGCGGCCGCAGTCGCTACCAAAACCGCTGCTCCTGCTCCTGCTGGCTTTAGCAGCTTTGGAGGAGAGAAGCGCCCTGTTCGGTCGGTCGGTTCAGAAACACGGCTTCCTGCTGATCCCGTAACTGCACTTCCCCCCTAACGCAGGCCCCACAACGTGCCTTATAGAGGGCCTCCCGGTGAGGTACGTACTGCTGCACCAAGAGGGGCACCCAGCCGCCAGGTCCGTCATCACCCGCATTAGCATTGTCGTCGTCATCATCGTGATCGTCGGCCCCAGAGCCGCCGCCCTCGCCGGCGCCGCGGCTCCGAGCGGTCCTGGTGGTGGTCTTGGCGGCGGCGGCGGCGGCGGCCGCCTGCAGGGCCATAGCTTTATCTAACAGCTCATCCCACGTAAGCGCCACCGCTAGACCGTGGCCGCTGCCCCCGGCAGCATCCGCTCGCTGGGTCTTGAGTATAAGCGGCGGCTGTAGGTCCCCGGCTCGGCTGCCTACCATTGGCAAACAGTGGGGACAGGCTGAAAGCGCTTCGTTGGATTGAGGGGAAGCGCGCTGGACGTTACTTCAAACCGTATACGCCAGTAAAAGGTGGACAGTACTCGGAATGTGTGCTTATGCGTGGTATGTGACACGAGGCGAACCTGCCTTCTGTACTGTTCAGTAGTTCCCTACCCAGACCTGTTTAAATCAGCTATAGCTGCAGCTTCCTATTTCAAGTTTTTTGTCGGGGTCTAGCATTCCATTCCGGAAGCCCGGCGGGACCATAGTCCCATCCCCCCACCCGGGCTCATTCAACCCAGCAAAAGCAAGCTTTGTTACGACAGTTCAAAACACCTTCCAGCAAGGGGAATGCGCTGTCGAAGCCCCTAACTAAATATCCCTTACGCGCTATCAGCCACACCTTCGCCACCAGCGGCCAGCGCCCGCAACTGTGTACAGGAATGAACCACCACTTGCTCGGGCGCCCGTACCACCACAACTTCACAACGGCTGTTACCGCACCCCCCGCTGCTGCTGCTGCTGCTATCGCTGCCGCCGCCGCCACATCCCGAATCGACCATACGGACGCCGTCCCCGTCCCTGGCTGCGCTGCCAAACCCAATCTCAAAATGTGACCCAGAGCCAGAGCAAGAGCCAGACCTAGGGCCAGGCCGGTCTGCATCCGTATCCATGCATGGGATTGGATTCTGTGGCGACGGTCCTGTTGGGCTTTGTGAGGTTGGTGTAGCGGTGGCGGGTAGGCGCAGCAGCAGCCCCCCGGGCGGGATGGCTGCCAACATCAAGGCACGATCTTCTGTGTTGTGAATGGCGGCCGGAGGGTCCAGCACACGCACGTGGGGGTGGCGGGCGACGTACTGCGCCAGATGCGCCTCCCAAACTGCCCAAGGAGGGTGGCAGGGCGCGGGTTGGTGCACATCAAGGTCATGTTGGGGGCCCACACGCGGCGCCTTATGCACTTCCGCAACCCACATTTGTATTCTCAGCTTGGTAGAAACCTCGAGTTCGTGGGTTCGTGGGTTCGTGGCCCTAACATGGCAAGGCTTCAACCCTTACACCCGCGCACGGGCTTTAGATAGATAGCCCGCCACCCCAAGGAGCGCGTATCTTGCTAGTGGCAGAAGATACAAACTGGAAGGCAGGAAATGCGTGCCAAAAGTGTGCGGCTGGAGTGAGAGACGCGGCGAGCATGCCGGGAGTGCACATGTTACTTTTAGGGTTTAGGGCACTTTAGGGCTCCTATGAGCGAGGCTGCAAACGTTTTTGCAGGTGCATAACGCGAGTTGAGATGTAGCGTTGGCGTTCGACGTTCTTAAGAGTATATCAGGTGATAGGGCATGGGATGGAAACCCTCTCTCAGGTCCAGGGCACCGTTCGTCTGCTTGCCATGTCCGGGCCTTTCTTCACCCCTAGCTTGGGCTATCTGAATAAGGACGTAACACACACGTATATACATATACGTACACACACACGCAGACCTAAGGGCATTAAGCTGACTGGTCCTGGTCAATAAGGGCCAGGGCGGATGAGGGGGAATGCGAGGTTTGAGGTATGGCACCACTCCTTGTACCAGGGTCGGCATGTAGCTTATGAAGTACGATGACGAATGGTGCACACTCAGCTCCACCGCGCATGGCGCTGGTGCAGGTGCTTGTGGAGGCGGTATTGGCGGCATGAGAGGATGTAGTGGTGGGTAGCGGCGCCGCCGCTAGGAGGCTTGCTTGCTGGTCAAGAGGCTGGTGCGGATCCAGTGCCACAAGCTGCAACCCGGCGGAGGATGCAAGGCCGCGTAGCTCAGGTGTTAGTATACGCAGAAGCTGCGGGGTGCAGCAAGGGGAGCGAGTGCGTACAGATGTGGGAAGTGCGGGCCTGGGTGGCATAGGGGTGCTGCGGCCGCGTTTGAGTGATTCGGCGACGTTTAAGTTAAGACAGGTAAAGTCAGTCAAATTACTTGATAGTTAAAATGGCCACAAATCCTTACTTTTCTATGTAGGAACGCCAGACCCACTGCGACAGGTAAGGACGCATGTTGCTGATGGAAGGTCATAGATACAGTGCAGAAATCAATTTCAAGAAGGAGCAGCTATTACACTGGTCTGTGAAGTGCAAGGGCAACCGTAAAAGACTTGGAATCTGTATGATTTCGGAGCAATACAAGTTCCGGAGCCACAGACTAGAAGAACAAGCGAAGAGCGGCCATCAGATAGCTAAGGACAAAACCCGACAATTGCGTCAACTAAAAAAACAGGGCGATGTATAGTAGATGGTGACTTTTCGGTTTCGGCGAACTGTCTGACAGACTGCGCGCTGGAACATGCGTGTGGCCAACATGAGTCTGTAGTAAAAATGCTTTCAAGACTACAAAAAGGAAGATTGTTGTGGATATTATAAGCATCTGGCTCGCTTGGTTAAAAATGCGGATAGTAGGTCTTCCTACATGGGGTGTCCGACTTGGCCTCCTGTCTCCAAATGCTCACATTGAAACTATCCGCTGTTGCCGCTCATAACACATAGTTACAGGAAGCCAACGGAAATAGATCACTTACAAACTTAATTAGATAATTTACGTGTTTGGGCCTAGCCGGGATTCGGCTAACTCCTCATTTCACACCTTTGAAGCGGCTGTGGCCCTTTACCTCCCTCTTAACCCTGACTGGTTAATCCGCTTCTTACTAGCTTTTGTCTCTAAGTTTTAGCCAGTGTGCCATAGAAACGCTCGGCGGCCAGTGCGTGCCCTACCCAGTCGCTTTCGCCGAAAGTGGCAGAAGCCGCCTGTCCAACTGCGACTCTTATCATTTAGAGGGCCGTCTTCACAGTGCGCTCGAAAAAAATGGCAGCGGAAAACAATGCCAACGAGGATGTGGGAGTCGACGTTCAGTCTCTGGCTCTGAATGCCAATTGCCCCTATCCAATCATGCCGTCAGTCCTTTTCCAAGTAAACTCGGTAAGCTGGCCTCAAGAGTGATATTTCCTGAGCAGAAACGCAGGAAAGCGAAATGATAGCACCCTAAGGCTCTCCAAACCTCGCATTCATGCCATAATAACGTAATAATCATTGTTTTTTTGAAATAATCGTTTAAACATGTTAGCTGCTGGCAGATCAAGGCCTCGAGTTTTATTTTTTGTTCGCGTTGCCATGTCACAGTTGGAGTTCAAGTGCGCATTGCATCCCGGATTTTATCCGACACCGCCGCGTGCCTTGTAAACAGGATAAAGATTTGGAGCAGTTAGTAAAGCTCGGTGGCGCAGCTGGGCTAGCGGAAGCACTGTGCACGGACTTGCACCATGGGCTGACGGAACAAGACGACAAGACCGGTGTAAACGCTCATCGGGCAGGTACGCAAGAGCGATAAGCGACAAAGCAGTCAATTAAGAGCTACTATTGTATTGCTGTTTTACAATCTCCGTCTTTGGGGAGAGCCAAATAGCGACAATGTCGAAAGCCGTCGAGGTGCCGGCCGGGCTCGCAGAACAGAGGACAGCGCGACCCTCCTCGCACCGATACAGAACCGTTTCCCCGTGTCCCATGCGTTTTCCAGAGTCTCCGTTCTGGTACTGCTGTAAAAATGTTATCCGGCATTCAGCCTTAAGGTGAAGCTCCGGCGGATTACTGGGCTCATTGCCCCCCCCCTTTGTGGGTGGAAAGCTTCGTGGAGGCGTAGCCGATCTGTACCCGACTTTGGTTAGTGTTGTGATGAAATTAACTGCTGCTGCATATACTCATCCCGCACTGGCTGTCCGCTGCCCCCTCTCTGGTGTACGGCCGCCTTCACGTCGTCCCTCTCCCGCCGGGCTCCGATGATGACTTCCTTCTTCCCTTGGCCGTGTAACGTACGCCGTACGCCGTACAACAACAGCATATGGACCCAACACTTTCCCAGGTAATTCCTATGTTAGGTGCACCAGGGTCCGGGACGGACGGGTCGCCAACGCCGTCTGGGGCGAGTTTTTAACATATTTACAGTTCCTTCTAGACTCGCTTTTTTGGGTGTAACATCGGGCCTCATCAGTTCACAATCGTTAGGGCTCAAGGAGCGAGTCTTGATGTCAGCGCTGATCAGCAATCCGTGGTCATGGCACCGCGGTTCCTAGCAGCGATTCTGGAGCCCAAAACACCCGTACCCCGGGGCCCTTGTTTCCGTTCCCGCACCCTGCCTTGCGCCCCTCCCCTTGCGGCTTTCGCACTGCAGAGAAGCCCCCACCTTCCTTCTTGTCCATGTTGCTCGAGGCGTCCAAGGACCCCATGATTATCATTCTGCTTGTTGTGGCTCTGGTGGGTTCAGCGTGTATGTGTGTACGTGTAGTGGTATGTGCGGCACGTGCTAGTGTGCGTTGCTTTTGTACTGCGCTTTTGTACTCAGTCAGTTCACATCCGGTTGCTTTTGTACTGCGCAACCGGATGTGAACTGACTGAGTTGAGTTTAGCTAGCTGGGGCTGTGTGGACCCTTGGTTTGGGGGCCTGGGCCGTTTGATGAAGCTGGTCGGTCCTGGCTGGCCGTCCAGGGGCGGGCAGTTGTCCGCTGCTGAGCACAGGACTCACCGATTTACCCGACCCGACCATCTACCTGGCCTTGGCAAGTTCCACGCCTCTTACAGGGAGATTAGACTGGGCTCTTATGACTGGGCTAAAATGAAGACAGGCGACAGATCGCATGACCCTCCTCCTTTTACAGCGCCCTCGCTTTCGCGTTTTACTGCTTTCCGTCCCGGTCAACGCAGGTAACCATCGTCCTGGGTGCCGCGGTTCCGGAGCAACGAGCCCACGACGGTTGGTCAGAGGGCCTTGCCGTTCTCGGTACGGCACTCATCGTCATCTTCATCGGTGCTGGACAGGACTATTCGAAAGAGCTTCAGTTTCAGAAACTCAACAAGCTGAAGGACAACATAGACGTCAAGGTCACCCGCAGTGGACGTCAAGTGCTGATCCCCAACACGGACGTCGTCGTGGGCGACATCCTGTTTCTGGACACTGGCGACAAAGTCATTGCGGACGGCATCGTGATTGACTCCCAGGGCCTAGTCCTGGACGAGGCATCGCTAACTGGCGAGAGCGACCCCATCAAGAAGGACCCTTTGAATGACCCGTGGGTCAGGTCTGGCACGACGGTAAGAGAACGAAGTGAAGAGCTGGTGGAAAGGACTGCAGGATAAAAAAATAGAAATGTTTTATTAAGTTGCAACAGACGACTGCAGGTAAGAGGAAAGGACAAGACCTGAAGAGCGTGCGAAGGAGAGTACTAGCGAGAACGTATCAAGCGAGCTTGGTGCCCCAAGTGCTACATTCCAACCAGGGATCCTGATCTCCAACATACCTTACATGATATAAGTGGCTCTCAACTATTATTACTATTATTATTACATTTTATTTTTTATCGTCTGATGTCCTTGTTGTCGGATGTCTCTGCTCTTTGGCCCGCGACATGCTGAGCGAAGGTCAACGAGGGCAGTGGACACGTGCTTATCGTGGCGGTGGGACCCCACAGCGAGTGGGGTAAGACCATGGCGCTGGTCTCTGAGGCAGGAGATGACCAGACTCCGCTGCAGGAGCAACTGACGGACGTGGCCGCCAAGGTGTCGAAGATGGGTGTGTTGGTGGCGGTGGTGTGCTTCTTGGCACTCCTTATCAAGTAAGTGGCGAACCTTCGGGGCCCGCTCCTCGGGGCGCAACTCCACATCCTAACGCAACGCCTTCGTGCTAAGAACGCAAAGCAAAGCATTTTAGCAGTGTACTTATAGCTAGGTAAAAGTAGTTGTTTGGCGAGTCTTGGCGTCTTTGGAGCAGCTCTACGTTTGTATGATGCATGTCTTGCAAGGGAAGATATCTACTGTCTTAAGCAATCAGCCGTTGTACTGCTGGGGCTCCGTGTGCATGGGCTGTTGTGTGACAGTATGGCGCGGGTGTGTGCGATGCACAACGACTGCCGTATGTATCTATATGAACCATGCACGGCACCCTCCGTTACCTGCCAGGTGGCTCATAGTGCACAAGGGGGGCGACGTGAAGAAGATCAACGACAACGGTCCGTTGCAGTTCCTGTTGTACGCCATCACCATCACTGTGGTGTCCATTCCGGAGGGTCTCCCGCTGGCAGTCACCCTCACGCTGGCCTACTCGGTGAGCTGGAAGCAGTTAGTGGCAGACTCATGGTGGAGGATGGGGGTTTTAGGCTTGTGATGGTGGTGGTTGGGGTTCAATCTTAATAAGAATGTGATAAGGGTGGTGGCAGTCTCGGCGAGTGCGCTGATGTGTTGGGATGTTGAAAATGGATGGTTAACGTTGCAAAGGGATGGTGGATTGGGTGGCGGCGGCCGGTGGGTTCACATCCGCTGCTGGTCAGACCACCACCCCATGCCATGCCATGCCATGCCACGCAACCCACATATCACTTAAACCCCTCACGCACACTCAAATACTACGAGGAGCACAGGAGTCTTGTATGGGCCTTACCACCACACCCCATACGTGTACATGCCATCCCACCCGTCTCGTCCGTGCAGATGAAAAAGATGATGCGCGATAAGAACTTCGTGCGCGTGCTATCGGCTTGCGAGACTATGGGCGGCGCCACCGCCATTTGTTCGGACAAGACCGGTACCCTGACTGAGAATCGCATGACGGTGGTGGAGGGCTGGTTCGCGGGGACCTCCTTTGAATCGGTGCCGCCGCCAGAGCAGCTGAGTCCAACGCTGCTGTCGCTGCTGAAATACAACTGTGCGCTGAACAATAAGGCTTTCCTGGTCGATCAGGTAAGTTCGTTGGTCGGGGGTTTGTAAGCAGCTTGGGTTGAAGGTATATCAGTATTTAACGGAGCTTCCAGGGAAATGCCTCTGAGGAGACCATGTGAGTGAACAAACCAGGTGCCTTGCAGGCGACTGCTGGTTATCCTTTGCTCGTTTGCCTGCCGGACACCGTACCTTCACCCTGCCCCTTACAGGACAATGGAACCATTGATTTCGTGGGCAACCGAACTGAGTGCGCCTTGCTGGTGTTGCTGCGCAAGCTGGGCTTTGATTACAAACAGATCCGTGAGGAGCGCGAACAAGACCAGATCAAGGTACGATTGTATTACATCCTAGTACGACATTCAGAAAGTACGGGATGCCGTCAGGAACAGTTCCCAAGAGCTTTTGGAGATAGGGACGCGCCGTCGGGGACTTCAGCACACACACATAATATGCACACATACATACACACACACGAACGAGCTCCAGCCCCGGGGCGTCAGAACAAGCCCATGACTGCGGAGCGATACGGATCCAGCTTCCCTTACATGCCTGTGTACCTGGACGAAATGAAGTCGTTTAACTGTCGTTCTCAGGCGTTATCATTTGTCACCAGAGTTCACAAACATGCGCACATAAATACACCAGACACAAATGGTACAAGTACGTGGTCGCAGATGTACGGCTTTTCCTCGGCGCGCAAGATGGCGAGCGTGCTGGTGCGGGAGCCCAGCGGCAATCTGCGGCTGTACAACAAGGGTGCTGCGGAGTGGGTGCTACGCCGCTGCTCCGCGATGCTGCAGCCGGACGGCTCCACGATCCCCATGGACAAGGTCATTCTAGAGGAGATGAATTCACTGGTCACCGCCATGGCAATGCGGGTAAGTCGGATCCCGGAAAACAAACGCAAGCATTATAAAAACCGCCCTTTGCTGACGGTGAAAACAGGGCAATGAGCCAAGGCCAAAATTGTGACTCACGGGATTTGAACTAGGGCCGAAATCGTATTCGCCATTTTTAATGTCCTCCAGCCTGCGGAACAGCTTGCTTGGGCACCAGATTACGTCTATAATGGACACAGTCTGTTCATACCAATCGTCACCGGTCGGACGCGACTTCCTTCCTATCCTTCGACGGCTCCCAACGCTTCACCGCGCTTTCCCCCTCCCTGCCACAGGGTCTCCGGTGCATCTGCCTCAGCTACCGTGATTACCCCGCCAACGACCTGGTGCGCACTCCAGACTTCTTCGAAGACGCTGACCAGGTGGGTCTGTCGAGTGCTGCTGATTGGGCCCGGGGCGGTCCGAGCGGATGGGGGCGAGCGGCGGGCACAGGTACCAGAGTTACCTGTACCTGTCAGGGCGGATGGGTTGCTGGATGGGGACCATGCATGCGACGGCGAGCAGGATAAGTGCAGTGGCTGAAGTGGACGGGAGGACTCTCTTGACACGTAAGCCCCCGCGGGCGGACGGCTTAGCGTCGACTACGTTGTGGTCGCGGCGGCGCTGGGGCATGAGAGTATTTGGGGGTGCGAGGGTGAAATGGCTGAAAACAGGGCCATAGGCTGCGCTATACTCATGGCCGTGCCGACGGCGGCGACTGCTGCGGTGATGAGGTGCGGATTGAGGATGAGCTGACCTCTACAGTAGTCAATACAGTGGTCAATACAGTGGTTAGTGATGGTGCTGAAGACGTAATGGTCGTTGATCGTAGTGCTGGTTGTCCTTGTATACACTTCCAGGTATATGCCCCTCCCAACCCCTACTTCAACTCTAACCGCCACCCGCGCAGGTCGACAACGGCCTCATCGCATGCGCTATTGTGGGCATTAAGGATCCGGTCCGTGCGGAGGTGCCAGACGCGGTGCGGACCTGCCAGGCTGCCGGTATCGTCGTGCGCATGGTCACAGGTGCGTGTGCGCGTTCGTGTATGCGTGTGCGTGGTGGTGGTGGTGGTGGTGATGGTGGTGGTGGTGGTGGTGGGGAGATAAGGAATAGCGCGTGATTACGTGAGTGACGCTGTGATTAGTACGAAGGGATTTTAAAGCTCCCGTTTCGGTGTTTGAGGACTGCAAACCCCCTCGGGTTTCCAGTCCTATATCCGACCAGACCGACCCAGGCCCGTCGTCTTGCAATCCCGCACTTAACCCCCCTCAAAAAGCGCATGTACACGGACACATCCACTACACCACATCCAGCTCCACGCGCACAACGCGCAGCGCATGTACGGTATTCCTGTATATCTCATTTTTGAACACATGCACAGGTGACAACATCCACACTGCCCGGCACATTGCCCGCGAGTGCGGTATCTTGGTGGACGATGGCATCGCGATGGAGGGCCCCGCCTTCCGGAATATGCCGGCTGGGGAGCTGGTGCCACTGCTGCCAAAGCTGCGGGTGAGCGCTCCCCGGGGGGTTGGGGCCCAGTGGCGGCAACCATACGCATATTTGCCGCGTCTTCACCGCACCCCATGAGTGCCTGACATGCTTTGTTTTGAGGAACGTTGTTTCACATTGGAGGCACTTTACATTGCGTGCCTAACGCGTTTTGCGCTTTGCGTCTGTTGCAACATGCGCTTACTGCATGTTTTGTGCCGTACGTGTTTTTGAGCTGTTATGTGTTCCTCGCGATGGACGATGCTGTATGCGTGTGTTTTCCGTCGCGCAGGTGTTGGCTCGTTCCTCCCCGGAGGACAAGCTCACCTTGGTGTCCCTGCTGAAGAAACAGGGTGAGGTGGTGGCGGTGACGGGCGACGGCACCAACGACGCGCCCGCGCTCAAGGAGAGCGACGTGGGGCTCGCCATGGGCATTGCCGGTGAGTGCACGTTGGCGATGTGCTGGGGATGTGGTAGGACACGAGGGGACCGGGGTTGCGTTGGAGATGCGGCACCTGGTGATTACTGGGCAGCTTCAACACAGAATAATGATGATGGTGACAATAGTGATGATGTGCTCTGCATAAGACGTACGTACGCCGCTGTATACGGCAGGTACGGAAGTCGCCAAGGAGGCTGCGGACATCATCATTCTGGACGACAACTTCTCATCCATCGTCAAGTCGGTGCTGTGGGGCCGATGTGTGTACATGAACATCCGCAAAGTGAGATACCAGGACGGCTGTTTAGGGACGGGGCTTACGGGGGCATGTGTGTTTGTGTGTGTTTGTGTGTGTTTGTGTGTGTGTTTGTGTGTGTGTTTGTGTGTGTGTTTGTGTGTGTGTTTGTGTGTGTGTTTGTGTGTGTGTTTGTGTGTGTTTGTGTGTGTTTGTGTGTGTGTTTGTGTGTGTGTTTGTGTGTGTGTTTGTGTGTGTGTTTGTGTGTGTGTTTGTGTGTGTGTTTGTGTGTGTGTTTGTGTTTGTATGTGTGTTCAGTACGTAGAGGGAGCACCACCAGCAAGACGCTGTGCAAGTATTCTGCCATGCCTTCCAGTCACTAAATCTCCCGGTGTGTTCAAACCCATGAAGTTAAACCTTTAAACATGCTAGTGAAATCGCTAGGGCCTCCCGTCTGGATCATATGCGAGTGCGGTCTGGCTTGTGCGTGTTTCGTTTTACTACCCCCCTGGCTCTCGCCCGCCAGACGAGTCCTACTCCCCCTTGCTCTAACTCCACCAACCCACCCACCATCGTCGCAGTTCCTGGTGTTCCAGCTGTCCATCAACTTGGTGGCCATGATCTCGGCCGCTGTCGGTGCCCTGTACGGCGGTGTACCGCCTCTCAACGTGCTCCAGCTGCTGTGGGTCAACATGATCATGTGAGTGTGTGGGGCCCAAGGTCAGATACACCTTTTGGAGGGTAACGCAAACCCAGGAGGTGTAAGACACGAGAATTTGCGAGTAGCTCGCACGGCGGCTAACATTGCGCAACCTTCCACTTAGGAGAAGCGTTATATGGATGATCTATTACGAAAACGCGTCCGCGTGTGTCTCTGTGTTTGCAACGTGGTCTTATGAGGGTTCTTGGAGTAGCCCCCGTATCCGCAAACCTGATCAATGCGCGGTTGGCCGCGGCTAACCTGCCCGGTAGGAGGTAGGAGGTTAAGGGCTCCTTGGTTTGCGTGATAGCTGCGGGAACGGAACACCTGCGGGTTGCGGCCTTCCCGCTTGTTGTAAGTTGTAAAAAACAAGATATCCTTGATGCTCTCATCCTGCCTCTCACACTGCCTCTCACCCCAACTGCCACCCCAACTGCAACCCCAACTGCCACCCCAACTGCCACCCCAACTGCCACCCCAACTGCCACCCCAACTGCCACCCCAACTGCCACCCCAACTGCCACCCTGGTCACGGGGCTCACAGGGACACTCTTGCGGCGCTAGCCCTGGCGACGGAGGACCCCTACCCGGAGCTGCTGCAGGATACGCCCCACGGCCGTACCGAGCCCATTATCACGGGCCTTATGTACATGCATATCGTGGCGGCTGCGCTGTACAAGCTGTTCTGGCTGTTCGCCTGCTTGTACGGCTTACCCCGTGTCATCGACCGTTACTCGTAAGTGCCGGGGATCCGTGGCTTTTGTACGTTTGTGTATGACACGTGTGTGATGTTTAGCTGGCTGCCTTAGAAATGACAGTCATAACCTGCCCATACCCTCACCAACTGCCATGTCATTCGCAGGTTCCTTTCTGTGTGTGTTAGATTGCAAGTAATAACTGTTTGTCGCTGTGTGTGACGGAATGGTGGAAGCGAAATAACGCCATGCGGTGTGTATCACAAGTGCGTCTGTATCGGGGCGGAAAAAATGAAAAAAAACCTGATTCTCTTTGCTGTGCTATCCGTGCGATGATGAGAGCCAAAATCGCATACGCTTACTTGCAACGGAGGACCTGTAGGCTTGCGGGCCCTGATGTACTTAAGTGCTGCCTAATTGTTACCGTGCAGTGTGCTCGGAAAGGATGAGTACTACCAGGACAAGTGCGACGACGTCCTCAAGGATAAGGTGAGGATGTGTGTGTGTGGGGGGGGAGAGGGGCCTGGGAGGGGAGATCACTTACGTGCGGTACACACGCGCTCCTGTTGCCAGTCCCTAAATAAAATAGTACTCCACACTCCACCTGCATCCGCAGCATACGGATGCAAACACTTGCACATTTATCACACGCAATCACACGCAATTGTGTGAGGCCTTCATAACAGCACCCTGTCATGTTCCAACCCGGCTACAGCCACACACACTACTTCGCCGTTGCTTGCCCCATTCTGGGCGTATCACGGGATCTGACATCCGCCGACCAGTGCTTTTCTGTAATCGTTACATACAACACCACCCTTACCTTCCCCACGGTGGCAGGGCTTTAACGCCACTATGCAAGAGCAGTTGTGCCCGATCATGGCGTACTGTGGCTGGCCTCGGGGCGGCATGGAGCGCCAAACCGAGTGGTGTCCCCTCTCCAAACCGGTACCTAACGACCAACTGATCGCAGTTTGCGGCAACTCGACGAACTGCGCCAAGTATGTTTGTTATCTCCTTGCTTGTCTAGTCGGCGGATGAGAAATGCTGGGTCGGGTTTGGGCGGGCTGGGAGTCCAAGCGGGTTCCAATCCCCAATCCCCTGTCCCCAGTGCGAGTCCTGGACCGCAGAAACCCATGGGGAGCGCCTGTCACATCGTCCTCGCCAACCCCCACAGGCCGCAGCACCACTTAAACGCAGCGTGCTTGCTTTGGCTTGGATGCTTGTAATAGCAGGGAATGGCTCTAAATTATATCATATAGCCCGAATCAAGCCAACACCACGAGTGGGTTATTCAACGCAAACCGTTTCATGCACGTGAAGTATCTGGCCATATTATCTGGCCGTCAAAAAGGCCTCTCCAGATTGTGTGTGCCGTACTGTACGACAGCTGCCACAGCATGCGTGTGTGTGTTTTGAATTCATATGAAAAGAGATACGACCACTTGCTTCGGCGTAAATACCGTATTGTCTTGTGCTGCACGTACACAGGAATCAGGAGTTAATCCGCGCCCAGACCGCCATGGACGACGAGTGGGACCGGGAGCTGCTCAAGAGCTACAAGCCCGCGCTGTCGGTGCTGTTCAACGCCTTCATTCTGGCGCAGGTCAGTAGTTGCCCAGCGGGGACGGCAAAGAGTGAGGGCGAGCATGGCCAGCGCGCGGCTAAGGCTCCATGGTTTGGCGGGCGGCTTGCACGGCGAGAACTGAATGTAGCAGAAAGCATGCACGGGGTTTGAGGAGGTGAAACGTCTGTCTGTCTATCTGTCTACCTATCTATATGTATGTATGAATGTATGTCTTATCTGTCAGTCGTTCAGTAGTCTCTAAATGTGTGTGCTTTGTGTGCGTAAGTCCTGGTACTTGCAGACCTGCCAATAGACCTGTCCAATATGAGCCAGGGGCGGGCTCAAGAGGGCTCCTTACTGACTGTGAGGAGACGAGGAGGTGCTTGTGACGCTAAATTTCAAAACAGGACCTAAGATGCCCATAAAGAGTCCCATAAGGCAAAATCCAGAAAAGCGGAATCCATCCCCCCCTTGGTCTTGCTCGCCCATAACGTAGGTCGCCAACGCGTTCGTGTCCCGCCGGATCGGTCTCGAGCTCAACTTCTTTAAGGGCCTACCACGTTCGTACATCTTCAACGTCATCATGGTGCTCATTACGGCTCTTCAGGTGGTCATCATGCAGACCCCCATCTCGTTCGTGTTTAAGGTGAGGTGGTGAGGTCAATATGCCCCACGTCCAGGAAGGCTGGGAGGGGGGAAAAGGAGGGAGGGACGATGTCCGGGGGCCGGGGAGGAAGCAGACGCATGGAGGCTGTGGGGGGTTGCGATGCCAGTTGAAGGACGAGGGGTTGGGGTGTTGAGAGCCAGGGACACGAGTACTTCCCATGAGGAGCAGCGCCACGTGTGGCGCCTCCACGTGCAAAAAGCTTATAAAAGCAGCAATGCGGTTTGCTGCAGCTGCAGTAGCGCATGGTATCGGAACGCAAGGGGGGCTTTGCTCAAGCTGCCCGGATTCGAGACGGTGTAGCGCCATAATACTTGTGTCGTGTAATAAGCTGCCATGAGAACCTTGAACCTTGTCAACGAACTTGCCAAAAACCCCTCCGCCAACGTGGGGCCTAACATATTCTGGTGTATATCTATCTATCTGTGCTCAAGATGACCTAAATGGTTGTGTAGCTCGTCTTGTCAGTGAACGACAACCCTCCTGCTAACTATATGTTTGATTCTCAGCTGCCCTCAGGATGCAAAACGGTTTTACACGTGGCTCGTCTTTCCCACTTCTCTGTGGTGCATTTTACCTCTGCAGGTGAAACCTCTCAACGGCGCAGAATGGGGTGCTTGCATCGCCATCGGCATCGGCGCGATTCCGTATTCGTGGGCAGTAAGGCTGCTCGCGCAAGCCGTACTGCCCATGGCAGGCAGCTCCTCCAACTGGCTCGCTGGACTGCGGGGCAGCCGCGCCTCCAACATCACCGCCTCCGGCGCTGCGCCCATGCGACAGGCCGCCGCCGCCACACATCGTCGCACACTCTCTGGCCGTACCGCATCCGGCGCAACCGCTGCCAGCGGCGCCGTCGCCGGCGGTGCGGGCAGCAAGACCCTCTCAGGCCGCACCATTTCCGGACCGAACGGCGGCACGCAGGTGCTGCAATTCAACCCTGCAAAGACGCTATCGGGCAATCCAGCCAAGACCATGTCCGGCAACCCCGTTACACGGACGCCGTCATGGGTGGCGGCGGAGGCAGCGGCGAACGCACCTTATACCCGACCTTCATCTGCTGCCAGCGCCAAGGTAGTTCCTGAGCCGAGTGTTACATCGTCTAAACCTGGGTCGCCTGTGGCACCTGTGGCGTGGGCGGGGCAGCCTTAAATGATTTAAGGACTGGCTCTTATGGGCCCGTACTTGGCTTACGTGTTTGATAGAAGTGATCAAGTGTATGTGGTGTGTGTAGAAAATCTAAGCAGGAGGGTCGCATGCACGCTGCGGGTGTCGAACGGGGATACCGAGGTAGCGAGACGGTGATGGTGGTTGGCGGTGTCGGACATGGACGGCGATGTGCTGTGTATGGCGGGAAAGGGGGGCACTTACATACGTGTGAATCGGTGGGCTCTTGGTCCAGGAGGTTGGGTTGGCACGCACGCTTGGCGTGGAGCATGGGATGGGAGGATATTTGCGACGGCGGCTTATTAAGGCTAGGACGCACCTTCACGCGCGCGGCCCTCGGCTTTGGTTATGATTCATGGATGTTGTTGCTGTTGTTGTGTGGTCCACGCGTTGTTGTGTGGTGGTTGGGCCACGTGTGGGGTGGAGGGTGGATGTGGTTGACTGTTTCTATTTCTGGACTGGGAATGGAGGGAGGCTGGGACCTGGCAACAGGAGTTAGTTGTTGTTCGTATATATATGCATTTCATGGATGTGTATGTATGTATGTGTGTGTGTGTTGTGTATGTGCGCGTGTATCTCTGTGTGGGCGGGTCGGGAAAGGGGTGTGTACATTCCTCAGGAGGTAAGGGTCTGTATGTCTCTCTGTACTCTTGGTGTCTTGAAACATGCCCGTGTGTCGTTACTGTGTTTAGAAAGGGGCGCTGTCCATGGATCTCAATAAGCATATCTATATATATCCCCGTTCTATTGTCTGTCGCTTATTTCTTGGCGCGGCATCACACAGTCAGCGCATCAGTGGTGTGATGAAATTGTTTATTGCTGTTTGGAGTCCACATTGGACTTGGGTGGGTTGGGGCGGCTGCTTCACTGCGGACGGTTGTATCGCGATGGTTGTTGTTGAATACGTACACGTTCGTGTGTCGCTCGGTCCACCTACGCGGTCGTTGCACCGCTAGTTTTTTGTATGTATTGGTGAACTGGCATTTTCTAATGTACGGCATTTGTGCAGTTACGATGCTACGACACACATATGTGGTGTAACATATTATGGCCGTTTACATTGGGACACTGACATTTTGGGCAATGTGGGCGTGAATGTGGACGGGGGCGGGGGCGTATATGTGGACGTGTACTTAGCAACATTGCCAGGGAGACGTTACCGATATAAGTAACGTAACGGATGAGGCTAAACCCGTGTTGTCGTGGTGTTCGTTCTCCCTCCTGTACCGCCCCCGCTTGGGCAACAGTTGTTGCCCTTTTAACTTTGTTACTCCTCTGCGCATTCGCGACATCTGTCTGGGCGTGTGGGCAATAACCCACTCACTATTACATAGTAGTACTTATTTTACGTTATGAACCGTGGAAAACGATCGATACCGTTGACCGTTGACACAGCTCTCGCTCCTCCTCTCCGTGCGCGTGTGGGCGCCCGTTCCATCATGCAGGTCGGCCCGTCCGCGTAAACGCCCCGTCAGGAGAACTAAGTAAGTCGCTAGTTCGCTAGTCCGCCCACCCACCGGCCGTCCTCCCACGCCAGCCAGCCCGCGTCCTTTGTCTCCGGCTACTCATCACCCGCGGAATCGACAGCTCGTAGCTGCCATCCGCCATGTTTCCATATAGATGGATCACCAGCTGGCGTTGCTGGAAGGCGATGGGTGGGAGCGTGTGGTGGGAGCGGGCAGGAAGCTTTTGCGGTACAGACAGATGGACAGACGGACAAGCGCGGTGGCCAGCTGTTGTGGTGAGGCCGAGCTTGGTGAGACTTGGGCGCGCGAGCGCGTGGGGCCACGTGTTGCCCGAGTGGAGTGAACGTGATCATGATGATGATGGTGAGGTGAGCATGTGTGTGTGTACGTGTCGCAATTTGGATTGGCAGTTAGGGTAGTGTGACGGAAGTGAACGCGGGACGCGGGAGCTCATCTACGTAGGCAGGGGGGAGATGTCTCTACAATCTGGGAGAGAGGTATTGGCCGTCTGTAGCGCAGGGTGGCTCGGGTCGCGCGAGAGGCGCGGCTGCGTAATCTAATCGAGCAGTCGAGAGGCAGCGTGCAGGAGCAGCCGACACGCGTATTGTATTACATGCGCTGTCCCGTCTGCTGCATGATTTTCTCTGCATATTTGCTGCACACTCCGTTTTATGCATCGTCAGTACATGTGCGTGAATGCATTGCGCGGGGAGGGGAGGGGGAGGGGGAGGTCTCGCGCCGATGAGAAGAGGCAGGTGACTCATCGGCCATACGGTATCAAAAACGACATGCTGCAAAGACACTACTTAGCAAGCCGTCGTTAGGTTGGCACGCATGCTTGCTACTGGTGGATAAACGTAGACTTCGGAGAAATGCAGGGGCAAGGTGAGAGCGTCGGCGGATGCTCTACCATTTTTTCGTTCATTATGCAGCGTTGTACCTACACGCGCTGTAGTTTTTCCCAACTCGCCGAAGTGGCTGACGTGAGGTATCGACCGGTCTACCTAACGATTTTTGTATTGCCGTCCTTACGCTCTTCAAGAGCTTCCTAAATTAGTTCGAAACTTATTTACATTATTAGTGCAAAGCGTAAGTTTTATGGCAGCATGCGGCTAGACCCTTTGGTTTTGATTTACCCGATGTATGGTTGAAAAGCATGGTTGCTGGAATAAGAGGCGAGTTTGCATGCACCGTTTCCGACTGAGATGTACAGGTGTGGAAGAGACTTTTGATGGATGTGCAGCCTCTAGCTATGAAATGCTCCCTAGGCTACTGACAGCTGCCGTAAAAATCGAGAACAATGCTAATCTGAGTTTGTTCCGCTTCCAATCTTGTTTAACAGCGCTGCATCTCGCAATTGTTGGGCCATTATTTCATATCGATATCATGCGAACCGATATGCATATGGTTCACGACAGCTGCTGCCAGGAAAAGCCATTGCAAAATGTCCACTAAGGCACAATATTGCATCCGGCCGCCACATTTAGGAGCAAAATAATTGGCTGTGTCATTTTCCTGCTTTGGTTTTTGCGTTTGCATAGTTTCGAAACTTGAAAGGCGCTGCCGCGCAACTTAGGAACAGTCGCAGTTGTGGCCATCGATAAACTCGTACGGGATCGCAGTTATCAGTTGCCGCCGTGATTCGTTTCAGCAGCTCAGGGTCATCGCGATTGCATGCAAATTGGCTGGAAAAGTTTGTGTATGCCTGTATGTACATGCAGCGTCCGTCGCGTGCTCTGGTTTTCTTCTCTTTTTCGCGCTTATCGGGGTGTTGTTTTTAGTGAAGTGCGATTTTGATCATTTACGCAATAGAGGAAGCGATGTAGACCTCCTGCCAGCAGAAGTCTTCGCACGCGCACAACATTTCGCCGCAATACCTCGGGTATGAAGCTACTCATCATCTTTCAATGTCATCGAACCATAGTGAGCCTGCGAGGGGTATGCGTATCTCTGTCTAACAGAGACATCACGCACCTGATCTGGCCGGGTATCTTACTGGCCGTTCCTTACATGCGAATAAGCAGCAGGAAGGTTTTTTTGTCGCACCATGTTGAAAGACGCGTTGTAAGCGGGGGTAAGTTATTATACTAAGTAAGAGAGCGAGGCCATTTCATTTTGTCGAAGGAATAACTTCTCTGGCAGTCTGGACTGTTTTGTCCATGATGAATGCGTGCTGTACATACGTCGTCCCTAAACACCTGTTTGTCCTTTATCATGGTGTTGGCTGAGGACGTTTATTTGTAAAGCAGAGACCTTAGCGGGACACATACACGCATGGACGGACGAACTCCATGAACTCCGACAATCAAGCTCTCAATTCTTTGTCTCTTAGCTTGTTAGCCTGAATAGAACCGACCATATAGGTCGAGTCGACGGTCCGTTGCAGGTTCATCCATGGTGAAATCGCTCCGCACATCCACGAATGTATTTACCTGACAGGACCAAAGCTAGCTTAAGGTAACATGACCGTCAACAGCGAACCTGCAGTAGCTACAGAGACCTCTTCGCAAGCACGCAGTCCAAAACTGTGCACGCATACATGCGCTCCCCGCACGCACGCACGCACCACACACATATAGGCTTCCGATTAAAGTGCAAATAAAGTACTACTTCATTTGTAGTCTGGACTAGTAGTCCTGGCGCCGACAAGCAATGTTCTACACAAGAGCAACGAAACATATCTCGGCTATTGCTTGGGCTTACAAGCGAGGCCGTTCCCAGTAAATCACTGCCGGGCCGTCGGCGGTGTAAATGAAGGGCCTCCCTTACGTAGCCCTTAGTAGAGGAGGTATTACATTGCAGCGAGGAGGGAAGTGTCCTGACGAAGGGCTCCCAACAATCGTGGCGGCAGAAGGCATCAATCAGTTCCCGGGAGAGGCAACTCTCAGCAGGGCGACATACACTTAGCTAGCCCCCACATCCCGGTTTTAGCCCTACGTGTCTATGTGACGGAACACGGACGCATGGCCCTTGGCTTGGACACGAATCTACCCCGGGAGCGCGGGTGGTCACAGGGTGGTCACAGGGTGGATGCATTCCTCCAATATGTGCACTATCAACATTTCTCCAGCATTCTGGTTGCAATTTTACTTCATCCATTGTTAAGTTTCTGTCCCCTGACGCCTCCGCATAAATTTCCATGCATTGAAGTAAGGCTGGGAAAGCTTTTTCTCACTGCCAATTACCACCTCCGTGCGTATCATCAGCGAACTGGGTCGCTGTGGTAACTTGTTGCCTAGCTACTCCGCAACGCTGTAACCGGCACAGTGAGGCTTGGGCCGCAAAGAAGGTGCTGGTGTAGGTAAAGGTGCTTGGGTGCATCCCTGCTTCAGTAGCCCGATAGACATAGATAGGAATAGATTGCGAGCTGACCAGGAACTAAGTTGTTGCGCCGTTGATCCGCTAGATTTGGTTGGATGCTGGTGGTGAGTTGCCGAACCCAACGAATACATTCTGAAGTCGGATGGGGTGACGGATTAGGGTGCCCCTCTCGCAGCGGAGAGCAGGGACTGCCCCGGGAAAGGGGGCGGCTGGCGAAGTTAACCACCCTGTAACAACATACACATAGGAATAGATGGATGGATGACAGGCGCCGGGGCGCTATCAAGAGTACAAGGACGTCACATAACAAGACCCTTATAACCGGGCATCCCAGTTGGGGAAGGGCCCCGGGCCCCGGGCGTCCCATTCTGTATGCGCACCGTGTCAATAATATCGCCAATCAACCAACCGACTCAATATGAGATACATCACAATCAGCATGCACGTACACGCGGACTATCCATCACAGAGCGAAATGCAGTTGAGGTCTGCGACGAAATGCATTCTTGGGGGAGGCAAGAATGCACGCCTGATTGATACTAGGGGGAAATGTACGAAAGGGTTCAATTGTGTTGCCCAAACAGGCAACCGCAGCGAACAACAAGTGCTCGTACGTGCATATCATCCACACGGACCGGGAGCACATGCACAATCGGCCACAGCATGTTTCGTTACTGTCGTCGTGTCTCCTGCCTCCGGCGAAACGCCAACCGCAACTTAGGGTTGCAAACTTGCATGTGTAATAGACAGCCTTGCTGCGGCTACAGTGCCACGCGGGGCCAAGTCCGTACGTTTGTACGAGCGGCCTACCTCCGTACACCGCATGCACTATTTCAAACAACAATGTTGGTGCTACTACTACACGCCCACTACCGCTGTCACAGCCGTTCTGCATCCACCTACCCGCCTAGCTGCTCAACACGCATTCACATATGTATCAACTTCCCATTTCCCACTTCCCAGCAAGATACACACACACACACATACACACACCTTGCCGTCCCGCCAAGCCTGCACACACAAGCATACGCAACCAAACCAAAGAAGCCATCGTGCTGCGCGTGATGAGCAAGCACGCGCGTGTTTCAGACGTCCCCCGCTGGAGCAAGGGCCCCCCCTCACATGGCCTAACAACTGCGTTCATTCCATCAAGTTGCCGCCCTGCGCAAGTCCTCCAGCACCTCAGTGGCGGGCGCATTGCCCGCGACCAGCCTGTGGCTACCACCGCCTATCACCGCGCCGCACTCCGGGCAGGTGGCACGCTCCATGGCGCCCCCGCAATTGCCGATAATGTACGGGTGGCCGTTCGGGCACCTGTGTTGCAGTACCAACGGCGAAACCAATGGCAAACTGTGTTAATAGCTCTCGCACTCATCCATGTATGCAACACGCACGTGCAGTGTTTCAAGCACAGAGAGACGTACGTATATATCTGTATGTATACCTGTCCGAATTGTTCTCTTTCCGCGTTAGAAGTACGGCATACACACACCTGTACAGATGGCCGCTTAGCCAGCGCATAGCGTCATTACTGCTGTACTCGCGTGCAGCAACCACCTTGAGTACGGAAAGCAGCTCAGCCGCTTCAACCTGCGAGATGGAAGCAGTGAAGGATGCAGGGTCGGTGCGGAAAACTACATTTTTTCCCAGTGCAAAAATCAAGTCCATGAGTGCATGGCAGGTGTAATCTCGTTCGTTGCATGTACACATGCTTGCCGCCGGCCCTGGATGTCGAGCGAGTGCACGAGTAAGGCGGAAGCAAGGTAAACATTTGTGCTTTGCCAGCCTGTGTGTTTTTGACCGGATTCATGTAGTACCTGGTGCGGTGAGCACCGTGATGAACCATCTTGCATGACGGCTGCTGTGGCCGCAACACAACAAGCGTGAATCCATTAGCGACGTATGTACGTGCCTGCTCCACGCTGCTGGCTCTCGTGCGCGTGCCCATGCACACGTACGTACTGTTGGAGCGTGCTACTTGGTAGAGCGGTTGTTCGGTTTGAGAACGGCTATGACCCGCTAAAAAGTCTTCAAGCAAATGCCGGGGAAGGCAGGGTTTCGCTGGGTAGCGGCCACGGGTGAAGATACGCCCCCCTGTCCCGCACATCACACTGCGATACCAAGCGACGGACGATACAAGCCAGTGTTATCTATTTAATAACACGCAGCGCTCCCAGCAATATACCAGCATTACCCCAGCAGCGCACCTGCTGGGAGAAGCTCTCCAGACGGGACATGAGCTGCCGGATGGAAGAGATGGCGGCGTTCTCGTAATTTTTGGCAGCGAAGCCGCTCTCGCCGTTGTACAGGTCCAGAGCTGCCGTGCCCGTAGCGCGAGCCTGCATGCACCCATCCATCAACCATCCATTCATCCATGCATCAGCAAACAACGGCAGATCACTGTAGGTGGGGAAGAATACGGAGAGCATGCATGTTAAAGGAGTTGCGCAGGTAAATGGATGCCTTGGAAAGACTTTGAATGTCCTTCGTGGAGAGCGATACGACTTCTAGCTGATAGCATGCCGTTATGGTGACTATTATATAGATATAATCCCGTAGTCATCCTGCTACATATTGCCTGCACAGTTACAATCAGCACACGCACAAGTAGGGACCCAACCACCTACCTGGTCCAAGGCATGCTGCTTCAGCTCCCGCAGCTGGGGCCCGTCTAGCACCCAACCCCCTGCCGCTGCGTCCCTCACAACCTGGCGCAGCGATTGCGCCACCTCCAGGAGCCCGACCTGCGCCAGACCCGCCCGCATGGCCGCCTCCGACAGCTTGAAGGCGCTGTTGAAGCTGCTGGCCTGCACTGCCTGCTGCACCCACTCAGGCGCGGCCACTATGGCCAGCTGCTGATACGCCTGCAGGCCTTGATGCAGCAGCTGGAACAGCTGCATGCGCACATGCAGTGATGGGCCGGCAAGCAGGCAGGTCGGTAGGATTGCATGTAATGCAGTATGGACGGCCCCGTCTGGGCCGCAGTCCCCATGCCATGTACAAGCACGTGTAAGCTGCGCTAGATGTCCGCCTCGTGTGGTTGTACTACACCCCCGCTATACAACAGTACATAACCCAGCAGTACATAACCCAGCAGTACATAACCCACGCCAGTAGGTTGATTTAAGTCTCTAAGGGACTGTTCAAGATAGTAACGGCCTTCTGTTTGGAAGTTGACCAAGTACTTCAGCATACGATCTGGCGGCCAATAGCAGTAGCTGTCGCGACAGACTGACCGGACATCATTTTCCTCAACAAGTCGCAATAGCAGTAGCAGTCGCAATAGCAGTCACAATAGCATAGCAATAGCAGTAGCAGCAAAGGTCCTCGGCTTCACCATCGTCGGCTTAACAGATCATGTCATGCGGCCCCATTAGGCGGGTAGGATCACGGTGGTGTGCATGCCCGCAGACTCATCAGATCATGAGGCGAACCAGGATGAATTGGCCCCGATTCGATATTCAGCATATTAGGAATACATCAACACCGGGGGGCTAGGTAGCAGCTAGGTTCTATTCATGTCCAGTAAGCGGCTTCGTCACCACCTGTTGTTTGAGGCTGGGCAGCAGCTGAGTCAGCAGTCGCATGGGGCCGCGCCGCGTGCGCAGCTCCCCCCCTTGCCATTCGTCGACGCCCATCGGGTAGGCCAGGTGCTGATCCCTCCCTCGAGTCGAGGCCGCCTCCAACCTCCGGATCACGGGACCAGTCCCCTTCAGCCCTGACCGTGGGACCGTACAAGCAGCCGTACAAGCAGTCGTTCATTGGTCCGTACGTTCGAATGGATGTACGTGTACCTCCAGGGACATATGCCGGGTGTTAAAAGGGGTCGTCCGGCGGGTGGGTGGACGAGCGACGGCTCCTTGCGAACCAAACCGCAATTGAGGAACGGGCTGCAGGTTGTGTGTGTGCGTGTGTTCATGTGATGTGTGTGTATGTGTGTATGTGTGTATCAGGGTTCGACACCCCGTACGGGGCCCGTAAGTTTTTGGCCTTTTTTTGGTATCCCCGTCAGGGCCCGTAGGACTTTTCGGTGGCTCCCGTAAGGATTTTGGGGCGCGAAGCGCCCCGTACGGGGCCGCCCCCGGACCGGCCGAAGGCCGGTTACGGTGGCTCCCGTAAGGATTTTAAGGATTTATAAGAGGCCGTACGGGGCCCTGTAGGGGAGAGGACGGACCATATAAAGGATGAGTAGGGTTGGTCCAGGGTCGCAAATGCGCCGCTGGGTTAAAACCGAACTTCATGACCTATCTTACATATGGTAGCAGTGCGATTTGAACCGGGGTACCGCTCCATTTTTACCACGAATCTGGGTTTGACCTCGCCGGTCAAGAGTTTCACTAAAATCTTAAGCAAGAACACATGCATTCCCTGTGGTCGTTATATATTTTAAGTTTTAGGCCAAACAACCGCCTGAGTGTGAAGATGGCCACGAAATTCTAATCCTAATTCTAACCATTCTAGGCATTCTAGAGTAGAAATAGGGTTTTCATTCTAAGGTTCTGCACATCCCTAAGGATAAGGCCACACACTTGGCAGGCAGACATAATTCATATTGCAATATTTAACTACACTTTTCATAATACTTTTATAGCTTCTGGTCTGTAACATCCAGCGATGGCAGACAATGAGTCGTCAGGAGGTGACCAAGGGCCTCCTAATCCACCGCCCTCCAAGAAGCGCGAGAAAAAACGAAAATAACGATTTACAGGGCAAAAAAATGCAAAGCGTCACTTTCCACAGCGTTTCAGCCAAGGACAGTGCCCCCGTAAGGTTTTGCGGGGGTTACGGGGCCCCCCCTAAGGTTTTCGGCCGGTACAGGAGCCTGGTACGGGGGCCCCTCCGTAAGGAAAATTTGGGAGGTACGGGGGAGCCCGCAAGTTTCAGGAAGGTCAGTGTCGAACCCTGGTGTGTATGTATGTGTGTGTATGTGTGTATGTGTGTGTATGTGTATGTGTGTGTATGTATGTGTGTATGTGTGTGTGTGTGTTCATGCGATGTGCGTGTGTGTGTGCGTGTGAAGGTTGCAAGTATTTGACCGGCCTGACACTGGCCAGGGGCTGCTGCCCAGCCCCAACAGAAAGACCGCCTAAGCTCTCTCCCGCGGACGGGAGAGGGGCGTGAGGGGCCTCTGTCCCCTCCTAAGCATAGCCGAGAGCCGCAGGTCCGCTAGCTCTGCTCTCCTCCCCCGGGGGGGAAGAGGAGGCGTCGCACGCGCACACGCTCTCACGAGAGAGGGCGCCGTCAGGCGAGTTTGCCCACTGAGCCCGAAACACAAAACAAGGCTCCTCTCCATCTCCGGGCTGATACGGCTCCTAGGGTGAGGGTTCACCAACACAGAGGAATTCCGGAAAACCTGTACCGACCCTACCCCTCCCTACTTAGGCACGAGGCCCAATTAGGAAGCTCGGTCTCTCACCCATTCGCCATTGCCCGTTGCGGAGGAGCGGGCAGGGTTCAAGAAACTCGCGCTAACCGCCTCTTTAGCGCACACGACGGCGACCGGGCACGGACTAGGCTACCCGCTATCAGTTCACCGATGGGGCTAAGGATGCCGGTGTTGTGTGTGTTGTCGCACAGTCATGACTAATCCATCCACGGACACAAATGAACTGCTCTCAATCGACTCCTATTACAACGAACTGCAGTTACGACTGCTGCGTGTTCAGATCTATTGATATCGGGCTCCCACAGATCTAAATTGCTGATGCTCCCCGCACCCGACCACACAAACGACGTATTATGGACCCATGGCCCATGCTATTCCCCCCCAACCTCCCACCCATTCCACACATGCAAGTCTTGAGTGACGAACCCAACCGGACACCCCAATAGAATATCACATCGCGTGTACCTTCTGATATGGCCACGATGTAGAGCTCGCAGGCCTGCAGGATGCCGTACCAAGCACGGCACAGCTGCGTGTTGTCCGGTCTGAGCTCCCGGAGGTCCGCACGAGCCGTTTCCAGACTCCGACTCAGCGCACGCAAACCTGCCGCCGCATCGCCGTCCGGAACACGGCTGGTGTTGCTGGGAACAGAAGAGGCAGCAGCGGTGGCGCCGGCAGTAGTGACTGCGGCGGCGGCGGCGGCGGCCGTGTTGGCGGCGGTGTTGGCGGCGGCAGCGGCCGCCGCCGCCATCTCCTCCTCCATCCTTGTGAGCTGCACAACCGCCGCCTCGTACACGCGCCGTTTTGGGGAACTGCAGCGAGTAGAAATCGAGGCGTCATCCAGAAACGTTCAGTTGGTTCGGACTGGTCTAGCATCCATTAGGCCCCGCCACGTCAGCCACTTGCATTTACAAAGCAGCTTGCACTGCATAGCAGCTTGCACTGCAGCCCAACCAGTTACTCATCATGTTCCATAATAATTCCTGTTTTTTTGCCCCATCACGTCGCCATGCGAGTTATGTTGAGCCGAAGCGAGCAGCACACAGGCACGCAACAGCTGATTCATCCGTTCGTACACAGTCATATAGACGTGCACACAGGCATGTATGAATCTATCCGCTCCTCGTCCGATACATTCTCACAAACTCTGTAAAGATTTAACATCTCTTTATCACTAATAGAGAGCCTTGTTATTTACACACGTGTAGAGCAAGTGAAACAGACGCCTGTGTTCCCTGTAACATCTAAACGAGCGGGTATTACCTGAGGTACGAGTCGCACACAGTGAAGAACAAGTTTATGACATCAGACACATGTGCTATCGGCTCATTAGTGGGCCTCAGCAGCATCGCCATCGCTGCCTCGGCATCGAAGCGGTGTTGTCCACGGTTGACATCTGCCAGGATTTCCTTCTCTGCCTGCGTCATCGCTTCCGCCAGAACCTGACCCTGCGTCTCTAGGCGCTGCCGCAGCGCCTTCAGTCGTGCATCCGCAGCCCCGAGCTTCGCGCCACATTCCGCCAGGTGCTTGCGGTCCATTAGATCCAGGGACGCTTTATTAACCGGCCTGCCGTACCGCCGTACGCCACGAATGGGCTCCCTGGAGGGCGGGTTTTAACATCATGGGAGGGCTTTGGAATAGACGCCAGAGAAGAAATAACACAGGGGTTATGTTACAAGTTACAAGTTCCGCACACAAGTGCGGGTGTGTCTGTAAAAGCCGGGGAGGCCATGGAGGTTATATCGGTATTGATGCGGGTACGCGGGAGGCCATCATCATCCTCCCTTGTTCGCTTCAGGGTGAAGCGCCTCAGCGCGACGTGCCTGGCCTCCTAGATTTCCGAGTGGTACCTGGCCAATGCCAGGGGTGGCGCCTCAGGCATAACGGTGCGCATGCTGCGTCCCCTAAAGACGAGGTCACCATCGTACTTAGCCCGTATGCTCTTGCTCTTGGGCATTCAGCAAAAGCATGCAATTCGTCTTCAACCGCTCCACAGTCACAAAGCCTGCAGGTACACTCGGTGGCTCACGCCCATTAGGCCGATTATGATTATGAAGTAACGCACCAATGGGAACCCCAAGCTTGCCGATACGTATTTAGGGTCCACATGCGAAGCAGCAGATGAAGGGGCGCTCCTTTTAATTGCAAATACATCACCATTAGTCCTCTACCTACCGTATCCTCCACCACGGCACATACACAGACGACCTGGAATGGACCAACCGCCCCCACCTTTAATAGCCATTACGGCGTTTAGACAGATATCCAGACGTAGGACAACCTGCCGTACCGCCGTACCGCACCTCCCGTCCTCACCGCACGCGCAATCCCCGCACGCACCTGCACTGCGGACACGTCTTGACAGGTTGCTGACCTCCAACGTCGGGTCCCAGCACCTTGGGCCGCAACCAGGCGCCCGTGGTGGGGTCGCGGTCGTAGCAGCTGCCGGCAGACAAGCGAACATACATACATACATATACATGGATACAGAATATTGCTTCAGTTCATTATAATACTCAAGTTTTGACGTGCGGATGGAGGGATGGATAGACAGACGAGCGCAGCGCTGAACTCGAGGATTACATCATCAAGCAGGTCGGTTTTCCAAAACGGCTGTTGTAAGATATGCAACTGCAACTGCAACACATACATACATACATACATACACACATACATACGTGCATACATATCCATGCACGCACGCACGCAGGCGGCAAATCATAACGTACGGCACTCACGCACCCGTTAACCCCCCACCATCTGGCCAAATCCCGCACCTGGCCAAATCCAGCAACCCGTCCAACGTGGACGTGAGAAAGGCATGGCCGCACGAGGGCAGCACCACCAGCGGGTCCTCGTCCACATCCTCCGGGGTCAGGTCCCCCAGGCTGCGGAGCATAATCTGATCCACCATCTGATGCGCAGATATACGTACGTACATAAAGGGAGGGGAGACAGGATAGAGGCCTAGGGTTTTTGAGCTTTTGCGGGTTTTTGGCTTGCGGCTTGCGGCCGGCTGCCAATCGCAGCTCCCACTCTCCTTTCCATTCTCCCCCCCCCCTTTGCACCCCATTCTCAGGCGTGCCTGCCAGTCCACCCGCTTACGAAAGCGTACCCCCAAACACCCAAACACCCAAACCCGCCGGGCGTGAGAAGAAGTGAGAAGCTAAGCTCTCTCCACAGCAGTCGCCGGCCCCACCTGATTCCGGATGTTCTCCTTGGCCCGCCCCAGGCACCTCGGATCCACGCAGTAGGTGGGTGGGGGGCACGGCTCCCCGCACAGGCCGGGGCAGCGGTGGCCGCAGCTCAGCAGCTTGCTGCAGCGCCGATCGCAGGGCAGCCTGGTGTGGTACAAAGCAGAGCGGGGGGACGACACCGCTTCACTTCCATTTCTTACCGCTAACTTCATGCTCCTATTACGTTTTCATTTTTTCCCTTCAGACGGAAACGGAATATCACGTGTAGGATATCGTGTGTGGAAGAAACTGGTTAGGATGCGATGTATGTGTGTAATGTGTTCGGATGAGTTGGGAAACGGAAAAAAAGCCTACCTGCAGGAACTACATCACCACGTTACAACCGCGCGCTCACACACACGCACAACCCTGCGTTAGGTGCGGTCCTTTGATAATCTGCCGATTGTTGCCAAGAATGGCAGCAGGGGAGGGAGCTTCCTGGCGCCCTTTTTCTTTACCTCTCGCACGGCGCGCCACACGGCGCCCGGCACCTTCCCACATGTTTACACGCCCAGTCGCATGCCTCCGCGCACGGCACGCAGGGCTGCCAGCATGGCTTGTGGCATACGGCGTGGTGCGGGCAGGCGATCCAGCAGGGGCGTGTGCAGCGGCCGCAGGCCTGCCCGGGATGGCAAGCGGCGCCGCACGTGTGGCCGCACACCAGGATCTTCTGACATCGCCGTCCGCAGCGATGGTGACTGCGAGCGTGAGGGGCCACCACCGCCTGCTGCTGGTCCTGGACTCTTGGGAAGAGGCGCGCCTGCAAGGCAGTACAGATGCCGTACAGGTGCCAAGGACATGGCGCGGTGCTGACATCATACTACGTACTGCTGGGATATGATATGATGGGGGTTCGGTTGGGTTGGGTTGGGTTGGGTAGGGTAGGGTAGGGTATCAGCAACCAACCAACCATGGATACAGACCAGGCCCGTTGTTATGATGATGTGCGCAAAGTGCCGTACGTGCATGCTCGTACTTTTGTTTACTTCATTGTTCGTAAACAAAATCTCCGTACGTACGTACTCTTAGGAAGGCCAGGAAGGATCCTCGGTAAGCCGCCCCCGCCTGCTCAGCCGACAGGAAGTGCAAGAAGCGCTCCACCTTGGGGGCTGCATTACTCGTGGACAAACGCGGCAAATTAAGGTTCCAGGCCGACCAGGCGTTACGGACGTTCGCTGGGGCCTCCGTAAGCCAACCTGCACACAGCAGCAGTAGTTATGCACATTCGGTTGTTCGTTGGAGAGAAAACAAAAAAAACGGTCATGTGGTGTTAATCGACTTAATCGATGAAATTGCCGCGACGTCCTCAGAATAGAAGTGTTACCTTATCGGCTATTACTATTATTATTATTATTATTATTATTATTATTATTATTATTATTATTATTATTATTATTATTATTATTATTATTATTATTATTATTATTATTATTATTATTATTATTATTATTATTATTATTATTATTATTATTATTATTATTATTATTATTATTATTATTATTATTATTATTATTATTATTATTATTATTATTATTATTATTATTATTATTATTATTATTATTATTATTATTATTATTATTATTATTATTATTATTATTATTATTATTATTATATCCACATCGGGCCAATAAAATCCAGCTTTCCACCCAAACCAGGCACCAACACTCGTTTTTGCACCTGCAATCAGCTCCGCGTAACCGCCACTCAACACGCTCTTCAGGCAAGACCCGCAGCGGCCCGTGCATAGGTGCTCGCATTCCAGTAACGCGCCACACGGCGCCTGGGGGCAGGCAGTGGGATCCTGTAGCAGCCCCCCGCGTGCGCTGCAGGCCACCCGGACCACATGACCGCACACCGGCATCTCCACCTCCACCTCCGCGGTGCAGGGAGTGTTGCCGGCCCGTGCAGCCGCCGCCTCACAGCACGGCACCTGGGCGATATGGCCGCAGCCCGGTAGCGCGACCTCGACCAGAGAGCGGCACTGAATGGCACCTTCCTCGAAGCGCCTGCGGGGAAATGATGTTACTGATGTTCATGATGATGATGATGATGTTACTGATGTTTATGATGATGATCATGTGTTGATGATCGTGTGTTGATGATCGTGTGTTGATGATCGTGCGTTGATGATCATGTGTTGATGATTGCGTGCGGAGGTGAGATACACAAATGGAGGTCGGGGGTAACCAAGGAATATGGAGGAGTGAGTGTTGTGTTGCGTCTTGAGGAGCTCATTCGTACGACAATGCTTTGGTGTCGTACGACAATGCTTTGGTGTCATGAAAAGTCCGTACAGCTCCTAGGATGCGGAAGGACTATTCGCAATAGGAGATGCGCGTGCATCGGCGATGCAGCAGATGCAGCCTCAGAATCGTCGATGCAGTGACAACCAACAGGATTTCTCCCACACAAACATGCGCACACGCGGGATACTGCCTGGAATATATTACTTACATACATACTGCATGCTACATGTATATCAATATATGTGTATAGTGGTTGTGTGAAGCATAGCGGCGTATGTAGGGTGTGCGTATGTTTCGGACCACCCCCAGCGCTCACTTCCAGCAGTCAATGCCGTGGACGCCGTGTCCGCACGGCAGCGTCACCTCCTCCTGGATCACCCGCATGCAGCGGCCGCACTCCTCTCCGCAGGTCTTGTCGCAGGGGTGGCCGCACTTGGCGTGCAGTCGGGCGCAGGGCCGGGTGCACACCACGTGGACATGGCTGCGGTCGTCCGGGTGGCAGCGCCTGATGGGCGGGGGCAGTGCATGAGAGGGCGGGAGGGCGGGAGGGCGGGAGGGCGGGAGGGCGGGAGGGCGGGAGGGCGGGAGGGCGGGAGGGCGGGAGGGCGGGAGGGCGGGAGGGCGGGAGGGCGGGAAATGTGAGGTGGTGGTTGTTTACGGATAAGTAGTGATAGATGAGGCCTAGCATGCGCCTCCATACCTCCCAGCACCGTCACCCCTCTTGACCTTCCTTGAAGAGCGGAAGGTCCGGTCCCTTAAGGCGCTCCCTTCTTAGGCGTGGTGTACACGCGTTGCTGACCCACCTTGGGCAGGTGTGCCCGCACGGCAACGCCTCGCCACACGCCGCCTGACAGCCCCCGTCACCCGCCAGTCGACTAAAGTCCTCAGGCTCGTGGATCTCAGTCTCCGTGCCGTGGTTGGCACAGCGCACCCGCAGCGCCCTTCCTACACAGCCGTCACGCTCCAACAGATCCAGCACTTGACACCACATGCCGGCACCGCCGCCGCCACGGCCGCCGCGGCCGGCCGCGCGCAGCGTGGCGGTGTTGCCGAGCACGATCATGCCGTGACGGGCGCGGCTGAGCATGACATTGATTCGGTTGCGCTGTGAGAGGAAGCCGATGTGGCCGTCGGGGTTGTTGCGAACGGTGCTGAGCAGTATTACGGTGGCCTCCTCGCCCTGTGAGCGATGTGGGACGAGTGCGAAGGGGGAGGAGGTATAACTAGACCCCCCGGTTAACGTCAACAACGGGGTAAACACCCTGAAGAAGCCTTTTTTTGTGTGTGCGCGGGCGTACGCAGGTAGCGGTGCCACTCCAACACGCAATGCCCGCCCGTCTACTAGCAGTGTAGTGGAGCCAAGCAGAGCCAAGCAGAACATCATCATCACCTAACCGACACAAGCGCACCGCGACCCTTCCCGCCCCTCCCCCCCTTTCCTACATCCACATCGACATAAACTGCCGCACCTGAAAGTTGTCCACCGTCGCCACCCGTATGCCCTCCCGCATGGTCACCACCTTGGGTTCAGCAGGCAGCTTGCCGCCGCCGCCGCTGCCGCTGCGGGCCCCGGTGTGCCGGCCGGCATCTACCAGGGAGCTACCGCCGCTACGCCCGCGGCCGCCGCCGCCGCCTGCAGCGCCTGTAGCTGTGCCGGCGCCGGCTGGTAGAACCGCTACAGTTGCGGCGCTACCCGGGCCGGGGCCGGGGCCGGTGCGGGTGGCCCCCTCGGAATCGGCTCCTGCGCCCTCCGCGCCATCCACTGCAGAATTGCATAATCGCAGCATAAAGTGGGGCGAATGTGCAGAACAATGCAACAGATGTTGTGTATTCAGTCATACGGGTGGTTGCTGTCCAAAAAGAAGTATATGCTGGGTGATGTCCACGGGGGGGCACACTGCATGTACGACTACAAAAGTGGATCCAGAGCTGATCTAATCGTTAGCTAGTTACTTAATAAAAGCCTGGGAATGGATGTCATGCGGAAGGCAGTCGGTCGTCGAGGGTTTGAGGGTTGAGGGTTGAGCTGCACACGCACTGCAGATCGACCCATGGGTCCATCCATCCTTTTGAAACACGTACAAAAAGAATATCATGAATTGGGCATTTGAACTAGAGGACCACAGTCGGCCGTTACTACCTACGGTTCAGTTGCAGTTGTCACAGAGTAGGTAACCACCTAGAAACACCTACCAACCACCAACCACCAATCTCCAACCTCCAATCGTCAACTAAGAACCCACCTTCGAGTCCCACTCGATCCATCTGCTCGAGGTCCCGATCGCTGAGCACCACCCGAACGTTGGCTGCATCCAGGGCCCTATGTACCCGGAACAGCTGCCCCACGTACGGCACCAGAATTACCAGATCCCCTGGATGTTTGCATGTATGTATGTATGTGTGAGAGTTAAAGAGGGGTTAGGCGGTTGCAGGGTCAGGGGTGGATGAAAGTCAAAGCGTGTCAGGTGAGGCCCTCGCCTTGCAGTACGGTTCTTTTCCCTGCGGCGCAGCTTGCTGTGCGCCGGGAGAAGGAAGTGCAGTCCGTGTTCATTCACAAACCATATCATCGCCTATCGGAGCAGCACTCGCTCCCCCCGGGAGGGAGACCCATCTATGTGCACGTCCTCCCGCTTTCCTTTCTTGGCTCAGGAAAAGCCGCAACCCCTCTTGTATGCTCCTGATTAGAACACTCCACACGACAGACAGGCAGACAGGCAGACAGGCAGACAGGCAGACAGGCAGACAGGCAGACAGGCAGACAGGCAGACAGGCAGACAGGCAGACAGGCAGACAGGCAGACAGACAGCTATCCGAACAAGCCGCTCACCAGGCTTGTACCCCTGCAGCAGCAGGTGCCGAGCCAGCGCCACCACGAACAGCGCCTCCCACTCGTTATTCTTGGAGCGGTCCTCCCCACTGGCCCCCCCACCGCCGCTCTCAGGGTGGTCGTGATCCACGAAGAAGACGGACGAAGCCAGGCCCCGTACGGCAGGGTACGACAGCACGCGAGGATGGTCTTGGAGCTCCGGGTAGATGGGAACGCGGATGAGCCTGATGGGTGGGCAGCGTGGGGAGCCGATGGAACCATGGCGTACCACAACTAACTGACAAGTTACAAACCCATATCCCATGTACGACATACCCACATCCGGGTTCCCGCTATCTACCCGTGGACATGTCTACTGCCCCCTACGCCGCCCGCTGCCGCTCACTGGCTGATCTGTGGCCGCATCCTCCGCTGCTGCAGCAGGGTGGCGATCTGTATGGCGGCGGGCGCAGCCGCGCCGCCAGGACCACCCGCGGCTCCCCCCGGCCCTCCTCCTCCTCGAACCAGCCTTTCAAACAGCGACACGTCCAAGTCCAAGCCCCTGCACAGCGTGATGGATGGCGTGATGGATGGATGGGTGGGTGGGCGATGTGTTGATGGCGTGTGGATGGATGGGTGGGTGGGCGATGTGTTGATGGCGTGTGGATGGATGGGTGGGTGGGCGATGTGTTGATGGCGTGTGGATGGATGGGTGGGTGGGCGATGTGTTGATGGCGTGTGGATGGATGGGTGGGTGGGCGATGTGTTGATGGCGTGTGGATGGATGGGTGGGTGGGCGATGTGTTTGTTGCTGACAGGGGGTTGGGTGGGTGTGCATTCACAGGCACGATATACACCGTACCCCAAATTTTGATCTAACGCGCATTATTGCATTGCGTGTACAATAAGCCGACATATATCCCAAGTGCGCACCTTCCCGAGGCGGCCTGCAGGTCGTACTCGTTGGGTTTGGGTCGCAGCTGTTCGTGGTCGCCAATGAGGATGAGGTGCTCGACGCTTTGGGACAAGCACACCAGCACGTGCGCCTCGAACACCTCTGCGGCCTCCTCCACCATCAGGACCTGCGGCCGCCGTGGGGTTGGGTGGGTTCGGGTGGCACGATGGCTGGGTGCGTGTGTAGTGTGGTGGCGGGTGATTGAGTTCACACAACCGTGGATGGACGACGTGACGAGTCGCTATTCCACTGGCTTCTCATCTAGCTAGCCATTTTCACCTTGGAACCTCTCGGTTTGTTCAGGCGGGAGCGCTTATTGCTTTTATAAGCAGCGGATGTAGCACATACACACACATATACACACACATATACACACACATAAACACACACATACACACACATACACACACATACACACACATACACACACATACATACACACACATACATACGCACACCTAACAAGGTGACGATGTGACTGCCCTGAACCTACCACTGCCGCTGCGTTGCGCGCCGCCCGATTCCAGCACCGCCAACCCAGCCAGCCAGCCAGTCAGCCACGCACGCACCCGTCACACCCCGACCACACGCCCATCACACCCGTACCCGGGGCTTTAACGCCGCCACGAGATTCTGGTTCTTAGCAACTCCCGAAGTGGTCATCCCAACCACCTTGGCGCTCCTCAGAACATTCAATGCCGATTCGGAGAACTCGGCCTGGGAGACATACATACATACATAGGTACATACGCACATACATACAGCTTCAGACATCACGGCGCAGCATCATGTCCCTGGGCAGTTCCGCCAAAGATCAATTCCGCCAAAGAGAAAAGAACAGGCACATCACGACGACAGGCGACAGGCTATAGCGTGCAGAGCATTGGCAGTGCACGTAGCACACTTGCAGGCTAAGCTGCTGATGGTATTGATGAATGCAGTGCCTGACCGCACCCGAGAATATTGCTTCCTCCACCTTCACCTTCACCTTTGTGGAACTCCATGGCGAAGGTGAAGGTGGTGGTGGTGGAGATGAAGGTGAAGGAAAAATATGGAGGACGTGGACAGCGTCAGGAGTGGAACGTGGTGGATGATTTTCTCTTATTAAGTATTAAAGAGAAGTCTAAAAGCTGGTGGTTGAGGCCACGGCCACCTTTACCCCCGCTTCACCTGCAGCTCGTCCTGTACGATCTTGTAGTCATCCTGCACTTCTCGTACACTCTCCAGCAGGTGGGCGAACCGCAGCCGCTGCAGCGCCGAATGAAGCACCTGCCGCTCCTGCCTGCGGACAGATAGACAGACAGACAGAGAGAAAGGTAGATAGACAGGTAGATAGACCGACCGACCGACAGACAGACAGACAGACAGACAGACCCCGCCTTTACACAAACCTCCCGTTGGATTGATTGGTGGATAAATCGACACCCTGTAAACAGCGATGAGTTCGTTCGTATGGGGAAGCCAACAACACAGGTGGTCCCCCCGACGTCCACACACAGATATCTGGGGCCCCATAAAACCAAACACGGGTACAAAGACACGCATATGCCCGTCGGTATTTCAATTTATCGCAAAGGTATGTTCGTTATGTTCGTAACACACCACCCAGACTCCACGTAAATACCCTCCACAGGTAGTCAGTCGGTCAGTCAGTCGGTCGGCTCCGTATGGTTTATCTCTCCGGATCGCGCTCCGTCGCTGTTTTCAGCAAGGGCCCCCTAAGAGCCCCCTAAGGGTTCCCAAATCCCCAGGTGCGGTCGGCATCGCCCCTCCACGGCGCCTCACCGGCTCATGCTCCAAACATCGTCTGAACGCAGCAGCTCGTCAAGAGGCCGACGCCGGGATCCCATCGCACGGACCTCCTCGGGCGCCCGAGGTGGCGGCGGCGGTGGCGGCGGCGGCGGCGGCTCCGCCACGTCTTCGCACCCTACGGTGGATCGCTGCGTGCGCTGAGGCCCTCCGCTTTGCGGTGACTCGGGCGCCCCCGCAGTCGTCCCCGATTTCGCTGCGCCGGTGGCAGCGGTGGCGGTGGCGGCAGCGATGGCGGCAGTAGCGGCGGCAGTAGCGGCGGCCGCAGCCGTGGCAGCCTCCGCCTGCGTCTGGGCGGTCATCTGTTTCATCAGCCGTTCCATGGCGGCGGTAAATGCCCTCTGCGCCGGAGTCATTTCCGCTGCCGCCGCCGCTGCTGCCGTACCGGCCGCCATCAGCACCGTGGCAGGGATGAATTGCGTGATACCGCCGCTACCAGCGCCGCTACCACCGAGCGCCGGCGCCGCGAATGCAGACACCTGGACGGCGGAGGGCCCCGCCGCCGCCGCCGCCGCCGCCGCCGCTGGCGGCTGGCCCCGCTGGGCTGCCGCCGGGGATGTGTTTTCAGCATCTTCCATGTCCAGCACGTCGTCCTCACCCTTCCCAAGGCCGCCGCCGTCGCCGTCGCCAAGGTCACCGTCCTCAATGATGGAGGCGCCACCTCCCGTCCCTCCTGTAGTTTGTTTGTATGTCCAATGCATGTGGGATATATCATCATTCCATCGCGCAGAAAACCCGGTGTCCTAAACCTCCCTCCGCACCCTCGCGTACGGTCTCTTGCACGCACGTCACGCCACGTCACGCACCTTCTTGTTGCGCCGCTGCTGCTGCCGCCGCCGCCGCCGCCTCAGCTGCCAGCCGCTCTGACTCCAGCACGATACGCCGCCGCCGCCAGTCCAATTCGGGGTTACCTAACAGCCAATCCTCCGAAATCAGGTCGCTGTAGCGCCGTCGCTGGTTGCGCTTCTTGCCGGTGGCCACTTGCCAACCATCGCCATCGCCATCGCCATCACCGGCGGCGTTGTAGCCGTCAGAGATGAAAGCCCCGCCGCCGCCGCCGCCGCCGTCGTCGTCGTCATCGTCAGACTTGCGGTTCCAGGGTCTTCGTCCGCGGCGGAATGAGTTGTACAGATTGTAGTGACGATTGGACAATAGGCCCTCCGCCTCGAGCCACGTCAGTGGTCTGTGGCCATACAAAATCGCCAAACGGAAAAGCGAAAAATGGACGCATACGTTAGAGCAAGTGCCCAAGCCATCAGCCACAGCAGCAGCAGCAGCGGCATAGCTGCGTTCCTCCTGAACAGGCAGGCAGGCCGTGCTGCCGAGTGCTCACACAGCTGTGGGGGTGATTTGCTTGCGAGGTGAGGTGAGGTGAGCATCGCAACAGGGCGGCGGTGGGCGCTGACGTGTCACCCCCCCGGAGCTACTGGGAGCTACTGGGCGCTCTCTGGCTGCGAGGAGTCCTGGCTGCGAGGAGTCCTGGCTGAGAAGCATCGAAAGCCGCACGCAGCTCCGTACGCCGTACACCGTACGCAGCAAGGGACGGTGGCTAGGTGCCAATGACCGCGCAGAGCCTCACAGAGCACTCATTCGCAATGTACATATTTGCGCAAACGGATTCAACTCGAGGGGAATGGGTAACTCTTAGCACCGGCGGGATCGCAAGTATTGAATCATCCCCTGTCCAACATACGTGCCATATTCCACTGCCGTCGAACCTCATCCATACACACCCACAAATCCACAAGACGTGTGAAGCACAAGGTGGATAATAAAAAATATCCGTGTCGGGCGGACAGACATACGTACACCTTTCACACATAGACCGGCTCATATGTGATGATCAGCATCCCATGTTGATGATGTTGTTTTTGATTATGGTTAGCATTATGTTCAATCAACCGACCAACCGACAGCACAACCGCAGTACAACCGCGGATCAACTGCACCCGATCGTACATCGCACACTGTCCCTCTACTGCGATTACCAACCTGCGCTGCCCCTCCGCTGCTTTCAGCAAGGCCGCGCTCAGCTCCTCCGCCTGCTTCTCCAGCTTGTTGGCGCGAGCAAAGAGCTCCTTTACGTGGAAGCCGCCCGCCTGAGTGATGAGTGCATGGAGGCGCACACCTTGTAGACGGACATACAGACAGCACGACGGTGCAGCAGTGAGCAGGCTGGACCGTGTATGTCTACGTGCATGGGGTATGAAGCACATGTCGGATTATAACACATTCTGACATGTTCACGTTCATGTGCGGGGAGCCAGATATCCAGCCAGCGAATCAGGTGGCGAGGCTGCAATTCCAACTGCCCGCCCGCACTCAGTCAACTTGAGCTCCCGCTCAGAATCTTTTATACAAATAATATATACCTTGCACATGCCCAATTCATCCCATGAACGAAAACATCCATCTAGGTATCCATGCCATGTCATTCAGAAGGCCAATTACGCCGTACATTGCTCTGCAGGTTCCTCAAGTTGTATTTTTCTAACTTGCTGCTGTGGCTGCTGCCGCCCACTCGCACGATGCTGGTGGTGACTTCATGATCCAGAAGGTCCTCCAGAAAGGAATCCAACGCGTGGTTGGTGAAACACACCACCAGCAGCGGCCCAATGCGAGGAAGCCCTGAACGAGCCCTGTCGGCATCTGCGGGTAGGACCGACAATAGCAGCAGCAGCAGCAGCAGCAGCCGCTCAACAAGACGCTTTACATATATTATGATAGTTATTATTAAATATTATTGAATTATAGCAACTCTTATCACTACTTTTTTTATTATTATTCCTATGTTTTTCATTAAATATCTTAAAACCTATAAACTATTTTATAAAATATCTTAAAACCTGTAAACTATTTATTATCGTAGGTGGTCACCGTTGGTAGTAAACGATGAAACCACGACTATAAATCAATTCATTGGAGGGGGGACGAAGAAAGAAACATTACATTCTCCATAGCGCACGTCCCAAACCCAAGCCCGGAACGCCACACGGAAACTCATCGCATCAGATAAACCTTCAGTCCTCCAGAACGATGTCCTGCACGATCCAGCTCGGCAACGAACCTTCCGTGTTGCCAAGGGCGGCGCGACGCTGCAGCCGCAGCCGCATCAGGCGTGTTCCACCACCACCGTCGTAATTGTCTACATCTTCGCCGAACAGGTCGCTCCTTGTGTTCCGCAGCAGCACCCGCGCCAAGGTAACTCCCAGAAAGGTCTTGCCTGCGATTATGACGCACACAAACGAGGCCGCTCAGGGACCGATCAGGCAACAGAACAAATATTGATTTCCGCGGGTGAAACTGAATGTGGAACTTCTAATACCCCAGATAGTAAATTAACCGCTTAGAAAGGAGGCGGTTGCGATTAGCTATCCTGAGGCGTCTTCTGTTCCTACTCCAACAATTGAGTAGAAGAGTGTCGAAGATTGAAAAGGTCGGCTAACTGGCTGGCTGGCTGGCTGGCTGGCTGGCTGGCTGGCTGGCTGGCCAAACCCCAAGGTCGCCATGCAATTAAGACATGCATGGCGGGCATCCTTACGCATTCACATCCCAAATCCCGAACCAATCATACCATCCACAATACAGGTATGGAAAGCATAGCATCCACCATGCAAGTATGGAATGATGTGCGGACGTACCGTGCGCTTACGGTCCCCCTCCACCACGCACCGACCCGAGCACGGGCACTCACCTGTTCCCGGCGGGCCCTGCACCACCGCCACCTCCTGTGCCAGAGCCGCCCGCAGAGCCTCCGCCTGGGAGCGGTCCAGCGTGGTGGCAGCCAGCAGCTCCTCCAGCGGGAACTGACCCGCGGGTTGCGTCAGGTCCACGGCCGACAGCACGTCCAGCACCCTGCCGACAGACAGACGGACAGACAGACAGACAGACAGATAGACAGACAGACACAGATACACAGATGTCCAAAGTAAATAAGACGACAGTTAGATGCCTGGATACATGGATGGACGAACATAACTACGTACTTACGTAAAATGTACAAAAAACTACTCACATACGCACATACGTACATACGTACATACATATGTATATACGTACGTACATACATATATATACGTACGTACATACGTATGTACATACGTATGTATGCATGCATGCATGCAGCGGAGGGTGGAGGACAGACAGATAGGGATAGGGATGTTCGCACACGACGCACACGTAGACGGGCAGCCACCAAGCACGCGGTCAATGAAGAACCAGGCAAGCATTCTAGGTATAAAGGATCAATGGCACCCGGGATTATTATCAAGACGCGGCATGAAAAACGTGCGGCCTTCTCCCCGGGCTGTGAAATGACATGAATGAACGAATGAATGCTCCCTAAGAAAGCTTTAGAGATGTTAATATTTAACATCTCTCGTGCTGTTATTAAAGATGTCCACATTGGCTACCAAGTGGTCATGGTGTTATGTATGCAGCAAAATGTAGAGCCCCGAAGGGTCACCTGCGGTGCTGCTCCTCAGGGAGCGCCGACACCCGCCCTTCGTCTACAATACATCGCAGGTCGACTCGGGGGTGGTCGTGCCAGTAGGTAGGCAGCTCCGCACCGCCGGTAGCAGCCCGGGCTGCTGTCTGCAGAACCTGGGTCGCCGCTGTGCTTTGCGTCGTCTCCAGAACTCGGGGAATGAGTGGCTGGGGCTGGTGGTGGGGTTGCTGCAGCGGCAGGGGGGTATTAATATTGGCGGCGTCGCCCTGTCCGGCGGCGGCGGGGGTGTCGGCGCCGCCGCCGCTGTCGGCAGCAGGCCCCCTGTCGGCCCCGGGTACGATGTACTGCGCGAGTGGGATGGTTTTGATGCCCTGCAGGCGGAAGCAGAGGTGTCAACAGCCGCGGAGGATGTATATCGCAGCGGTGGCAACAATGGCAATGGTGGTGGTGGTGGTGGTGGTGGTGGTGCTGCTGCTGCTGCTGCTGCTGCTGCTGCTAGGGCACAGGCCAGCTGTTGTTGCGGTGGTCAGTGATGAGGCGCCTCACTAAGTAGTGGTAACCACCACTCCGCCACTTCCGGAGCGCCTTCTGCTCCCACCATCCCGAGACAAAATAAGGTCTGTGTTGCCCGATGTGGCAACACATCATATACATGTGGTGGTGCAGCTGGCTGCGGCAACAGCCGAACAGAGACGACACACGGGCCCCGGGGACGCTTTGCTTCCCCACCAATTCCCCACCGATTCCACCACCAGCTGTGGCAGGCACCCTCTCAGATCACCGCCCCAACCCGGCAGGCGGCAGCAGCCTCATGCTCCACAGCTTGTCATGTCATGTCTTGTCTTGTCATGCAACTAGGGGCCCGCCCAGCTACAGCCAGCACTACACCTCGCAAGGCCCACCTGCAGAGCCCGTAGCACTGGCTCATACGCGAAGAAGCTGTTGTGTTCCTGAACTAGGACCACTTCACCGCCACCACCACCGCCACCCCAGCCATGCTGTTGTTGCCTCGGCCGGTCACGCCCCGTCATCGTCGTCGTCGCCTCTGCTCCCACGCACCCTCCCTCGCAATCCAGCCACGCGCCCAGAAGAGCCTCGTAGTCGCCGGCTCGCATCAGCCTGGGGGAGTTTAATATTTATTTAAGCAGTTTTTTTAGCGTTTATGGCAAAAGTCTTCCCGGCATGGGCAAAATAGGAGTGAACTATAAAACATATGATGTCGAGTTCATCTACTAACCCTTTTGATTTTTCCCTGCGAACTTTGTAACCTCTGTTAGGGGTCATGTGAGGTGCCCAAGATGCGGGACCGTGTGAGAGATGAGATATCTGTGGCACATGTGACGCTGCCGCGGTGCGTGCCTTCGCGGATCGTGATTCGCCTTCAGTGCACTGTCGGACTGTGCATTATCCCTCACACATACTCCTTGCACATGCACATGCACATGCACATGCACATGCACATGCACATGCACATGCACATGCACATGCACATGCACATGCACATGCACATGCACATGCACATGCACATGCATTGCTGTACACAAGCAACCTATACGTCATAATCATTACCACATGTCCGGCATTA